TTAATTATTTGGAAATGAAACCAAATGACATACAATTTCTGGTCACAAAATAATGGAAAGTATAGGATTTGAATTGCTTGGTTACTGTAATAAACTCATATCAATCACTACATTCTATGTTACATAGTTATCTTACAATCAACATGGAATTTCCGTCTCAATGTCAGGGGATGGGTTAACTGCAGGATAATAAAACAATGTCGGTTGGTCTTAAATGAAGATAAATTGATACAGAAGGGACCAAACAAAGGCTAAATGTATTGACAGAGTTACATCTCTATGTGATAACAACAACTATATACTATTTCTCACCATAAACAGTTATACTCTATTTTCTCATCATTTTTTTCTGCTACAAAGTTCTGTTTATATCAGTTTAAGATCTAAATCTCATAGAAATATAGAACAGGTCGGTACATATGTACTGAAAAATCTCCATCACCATTCTATGTACTACTACTATTCAATAACATGTGGTATATATACTTACACATATTCAACTTAACATGGGATTACAGAAAACTTTGGCCTGTGTGATTGGACTGAGCCGTCAGACTATATAATCCCTACAAATGCGATGACCGATTACAAGCGTAATCAGGTGGAATGGTACCTAAACATTGCTATCTAAAGAAGCCTTGTTTCATAGGTTCAGTTCTTATCATAAACGTTCTATATAAACATTTAATGGGATAAATCATGTCCAGTAATGGGGACAGCTGTTTATGGTTAATATATTTTACTAATGCTAATAACTACAAATTACTTTCTGTCAACTCTCCTTATTCAATTTCAGACAACAATACACAGCAAATCAACAAATGTATACAAAATCTGTGATTTTAACTTTCTTATACAAAATCTGTGATTTTAACTTTCCTAAGTCAAAAGAACAACCAAATTAAATAGTTTACAAGTAATTCATATCAGTCATTGCAAGGTTTAGCACCCTGTGAACAGCCAGAGTCATTTTGAAGGAGAATCTCCTCGCAGCAAGAAAGCTGTTGGCTTCCTCACTGAAGACCATGCTGAAGGACCATCACATGGTATCCAAAACAAATAGAGTAAAGTCTCTTACATAGAGACACAACCGTGACTGCACAGAAAAAATACAATTCACCCAAGGTATAGAAAAACACAGATTTCATCTTGAAGTTTCGAAGTATCACAGCCCTTCTACATAACAATCTTTCATAAAGTCTCTATTTTGCCCTATCATTCGAGTTTATGGTCAAAGCATGGAAACAACTTGCAAAACTTTTTTTTTTAATTTTCCCATATTAATTAAGAATCTTAAGAAAGGTAGCTTAGAAAATAGCACTAGTTCTGACAGCACTAAATAAACTAAATAATTATCTAACATACTTTGGACTTCAAATCCAACATGATATATATATATATGTACATATCAAAGGGTATTATTATATAGAAATAAAACTGTTGGTGCTCTGGATCGTGAGTGTGAGGTCCGCACAGGCCACACGTCAAAAATTGTATTCCTTTGTCAATTGTTTTGCAATGTCCAATATATATATAGATATACACCGATATACATAATACTCTTTTCAATTAAATTCAAAGTTGCAAGTATTATCAACTCACTTAATTGAATCTGAACAATTAAATAACATAATTTTATTCAACTGCAATACCTGTTAGTCTGTACAAAAAATGACGAGGAACTTTTGCAGCAATGGTTTGATATATACCAGTACATAGTGTGTGGCACTCAGGGAAGGGGGGGCACCTGACCTTCAGAAAGGGAGGGGGGCACCTGCCCCATTACACCAGAATACACATTAATCAAGTGTTTATTAACCCCAGCATGACCACATAAAAAGTAAATGTGAGGGTGCCATGTTAACACTACCATGCAGTTTTTGATATATACAACTTTTTATATGTAAGCTTAATATATTTGGAACTCTATCAACCAATATCAAACATTTCCTAATAAGGCTGTCACTGCTTTATAATCAATGAAATGCTTTAAGAATTACTATAAATTTCAATACGGAGATGAATTGGTATTGTCACTAAAGACTAGTGATATCATTACAATTCTCAGTAAATCTAGGGAACTATTTAACAACTAACTATGTCAGAAATATTAGAACTAATATTCCGTAGTCTTGTCAAGTCAATTATGTATCGATTGATACCATCATATATAATTATCAGTTTGGATTTCAGGGCCTAAGTAATTACAGATATGAGATATCAATTCAAAGAATTTTATGTGTAATTGTCACTATTTCATCATGTCAGTGACATATATTGCCTATACTATAAACACACTCACTTGGGAACTTACTATGTCCTAGGTAAATGCTCAGGTTTTCTTTAACCGAAAATAACAGAAGAGGCAGACTTGATGACAGCATTGTTAGCTTGAAATGTTATGCAAAAAACTTGTAGAACTATAATTCATCAAATGTCTCTGTTTCTGCTTTGATAAGAAGTTACGATGTATTCCAAGGTTTTAACAACTGGTTCAGACAAGTATGACTGTATTACAGATTTGCTAATGTGAGCCACCAGCTAGCACAAGAAGATCCATCTCAAAATTGCCCTTACCAATCAGAGAGTGATAAACCTGACAAACAAATCAGTGTATATATCAATACCTCAGGTATCAAACAATATTTCATGAAAATCAAATCAGAAGATGTAATAGGCAGTTATACACTAGAAAAGCATTGCTAAGTAAGATATGACAAGGAATTAAAATGACTAGAGAATTCTTCCACACAATACTATACCAACCTGTATATGTATTTAACAAATCTTACCAAATCCTATTCATTTTCACCAAGAGATATATACTTCACATTCACTCATTTTTTTCTATTCATCTTCACCAAGAGAAATATATTACACTTAAAGTTTCTGACAGAATAGGTGCTTAACATCCTGAAACAACCTTGCTGGCATTCTGAAATAACCTAGACGGCACCCTGAAATAACCTAGATGGCACCCTGAAATAACCTAGATGGCACCCTAAAATAACCTAGACGGCACCCTGAAATAACCTAGACAGCACCCTGAAATAACATCGCTGGAACCCTGAAATAACCAAGCAGGCATCTTAACATAACCTAACTGGCACCCTGAAATAACCTAGACGGCACCCTGAAATAACATCGCTGGAACCCTGAAATAACCAAGCAGGCATCTTAACATAACCTAACTGGCACCCCGATATAACCTTGCTGACACCTTGAAACACAAACTCATCTAAACCATGTAGAAGTATTTATCGAAATCTATAAACAGCCAAAGACACACTTATCACACAACTTTTGTAAATACTAAATGGTAATAAATGAAATGACTTTGACACTCTAAAATTTGATAACACATTATGGACTACACTTTACCTCCAACAACACACCCTACCCCAAACCCCCAATACCCCCATCCCCAACCTCTGCAACCCTTACCCAAATGGTTACAGTAAAACAAATTAAAAAGATGAAAAAATGAATAGCTATTCATTATATTGCAATTAAAGACATGAATATACTTTGTATATGATAAACCATAATATAATTAATTGATTTTAAATTATTTCAAAACACAACAAATTATTCAAAATCACATACCTAAATCAAAATGTTATAAATAGTAGCATCATTGTAAACATGGTCACTCTAACGACTTCAATATATCATGTTACCCAACACCACAATTATCTGTCAATAGCCCATGTCTGGTAATAAGCCCACCCATTTTCATAGCTGTTTGTTAGGACTAACATTATTTCATAGTTCTGTATTAGGATCATCCTTTATGTTTTAATCAGTAGCACTGCTTACACTAAGTCATCCCCTTCTATTGCAGGATATATATTGATATTAATGTAATGGTGGTGACATGTCTTTATAAAATACAACTCTGGTTTTCATTATTTTGTCTATTTCCAATACATACTTCAGCTTAATTATTGAACCTGACTCGTCAATACTCTTAACAATATTTAGAGCAGAATTTTGTTCAAAATCGAAAATAATCAATTATCCACTGTTTTACCTTTTTTATATATATATTTAATCTATACATTGAGTATAGATTTTTAAACAGTATCAAACGTTATACAACAGTATATACGCAATGTAGAAATATTGATGAGAAGTAACGTCATTGAGATTGAACCAGCTTACCTCGGCTCCTTAACTCCTCCCAGTTCTCCTTATAGTGTAAATTCTACATTACAATCCACAGGATGTTAAAACATATCAGAGTCCCGTTGCTGACTCTATCAAAAATTTGTGAGGTCCCATTGTATGAGAATGTTAGGAAATACTTCTCCAAGACTTTTATCCTATAAAATCCATACTAATTCATGAATGTACGTGTGTGTTGGTTTTGTAAAACTAAATTTTATCAACCCTTTAGAGAAGTGTGTGATCTGGTAGATTGATTTTTACCTATATTACCATAACTGTAGCTACTATAGTATTTGCATAAAATTTAACATTTCATTTTCACCTGGAAGGAAATTATTGAGTATGCCAATAGGGATACAACTGTAGTTCTATAAGGCATTCACAAACTTAGCATATCGACTATAATACTTGACAAAGCCACAAGACAGAGTGGAACATCAATACTTATTGAACCCACTGAGTGAGACAGGCTAGCTAGAATCTACCTGTGCTCATATACATATTTCCTTAGCTCCTTAATACCACATACTTCTTTTGCCTATAAAGTTCCAAAGTAATAGCATAGTTAGATGAAGATGAAGACGTGGAGTGTTTTTTCCTCTCAATAGAGGTCATATAATGTTTCTTACTAGTTCTACACAGTTTAAGATATATTTAAATGACAGTAAATTTACACCATTAATGTATTTAGTTAAAAAAAGATAAAAAAAAATATTGATGTGCTGTCATTTACAAAGACTTACTGAAGCTGAATGATTTGAAATTTAGTGTTCCGCAAACTGAACAATTGAGCTGACAATGCTTTTAACATCCCAGTAAGAGGTACTTACCTGCACACTCTCAAATTCTACCATCCTGTGGTACACAATTCTTTATCCATTTTCACTTATTATCATGATATTGAAGGCTGATCTGTAATCCAAGTGGGAAATAATCTGAAAGGACTGGTGATAATTTAATCATATGTAGATTTAACTGTTTCTCCTGGAGTCAAGTGAGAGATTCTTCAACAACCACCCCCTACAGATTGACTATGTCTCCGGAATCATATGAAAAATCAATTACTTCATTATCAATATGGGTAGTACTACCGCATGAGTGGCCAGTGGGCCGGTAAATTTTGAGCCTTTATCGGGAGAGTGAAGGTCTTTGTACAGTGATTAGAGCTAGCCAGCGTATATGTTAAAGGATTTACAAGTCTGACGCTATGTTTAGGCCATTTAATACCGATCTGTTGCCAATCTGTCATTCGGGACAGGTAGACTGTTCACAGGTAAGCAAATGATTAACAGACGAAACCGCTACTGCAATAAACAAAATGAAAACTTCACAAAAAAGTAATTCTATTTTATCCTATACCCTAATCAAATAATCAAATTGTGATGTGTCTGGTTGTACAACTTCTGATGTGTAGAGAGTAAGTAAACCCTATTGCTACCTACAATACTTCAGATTAAGAGGTCAGGTGATGTACCATCCAAGAACAAATATAATTCTCTATACCAAGAAAAAAAAATAAATTTCCAATTTAATAGTAAAACAGCCCAAAAATCTTCACTAATTCATTTCATATCAAAGAAATTTTTTTTCATGCTTTTTTGAAACTTTTCACAGTGTTAATCAAGAAGATAGGACACGACGCTCACAACATTTCCTTTCTCTCTACCACTCTAGCTAGATTTAATTCTGTTTTTTTTGTGCGTACCAAATGGATATGAATTAGCCAGTAAATTGTGCTCAGGAAAAATACAGTTATCATACTTAATGGTTTCTCATTATAGTCTTACAATTCTAATGACAAGGAGATGTTTATCATAAATAGCTGATGCTATCTCTTACCTCGCTAAATAAATACATCTTTCTTACTGAATTGATAAGAAGGTATGCATTTTTATTTCAATCTAATCGAAGCAAATTTGCATAATTAACTACTCCAGGTATATGTTACACACATTAAATACCCGAGACTTTATCTCTGACAAAAGACTACAACTTAACCATGAGAAAATTGGAGGCCATTGATTCATATAAGTATAAAAAGCTACCTTGAGATTAGCTTGGTATTGCAGCGTAATATATCATTCTGTCAGAGCAGTGTGTAAAACAGGAGTCTACAACCAACCAGAGTAGGAGTGTTAGCTAGAGTGTGTAAACATGTTCAATTTATGGCACTTTTAATTCCTATAATGAAGCTATATATGATAAAGTCGAGGACAAGAAATATGTACAAGTCCTTGTTATGTAAAGCCATTCTTAATTCCGAGGACATCACTTAGCTGGTGTTTTAAAGGTAAATATGTAAATCAGTCAGCTGGTCTATAAAAACACTCTCCTCAGATAAAAAAAAAAAAGAGGCTCTGGGGCCTTAACAGTCACCTGAGTTACTATGCTTCTTGTAACATGTTATAGAAATAATCTTTAAAAATGTCAGATCACTTAAACTTCATTGTACACCTAATACAAATGTAAACTGTGCATAGCATTAACTGTTGCCCTATGCTTAGGCTTTTAACCAAATTTAAATTAAAAGAAATCACACCCAAAAATGTGGTTTTCCTATATAAACTCTTTCATACTTAAACAGTATTTAATAGATTCTATCATACCTGGGTATTGAGAAAATCCGTGAAATTTCCACCAATCTGACCCCACCCACCAGCCCCTGAGAGTTGGCCAGGGTCATTATGTGTATATCATAAAACTATCATCTTACACTTTTAATTTTAACTAAGTTCAAACTATTTCCATTTGAAAATAAACAAAGTAAGCTCAAAGTTGTATGGAAATTATAAATAATACAAGAGATCCCAGAGGGATCTTAGCACCCAACATTGTTTGACCTTTATTTGTTTGTTAGAAAGTTTGATCTTTTACCTTTTCTCTTCTCTTTTCAGATTTTGCTCTTAATGTTAACAAATTTGAACATTCCTTTGCAGAAATAGGGATAATAATCTTTAACTGCCAAATCTAAGATGGTCCAAGAAGCCATTTTATTTTTTCTGATCAGTCTCAAAATCAAATGGGCACAACTAGGCTCCAAGGGGAGCCTACACATAACATTTGAGAAAGATCTATGCACTAGTTCTCAAGATATAGCGATAATAAACTTTATCAGGCAAAATTCACGATGGCCACCCGTCAGCCATTTTTGTTTTTCTGATCAATCTCAAAATCGAACAGGCAAAACTAGGGTCCAAATGGCACCTACACATGACATTTGAGAAAGATCTGTGCTGCAGTTCTCAAGAAATAGCGATAACAAAATTTCAAAGTCAAAATCCAAGATGGCCGCCTGTCAGCGGTTTTTTGTTTTTCTGATCAGTCCCAAAATTTAAAGGAGCACGACTGGGGACCAATATGAAATTTGATAAATATCCATCCAGTTCTTCTCAATGAATAGTAATAACAAAAATTGTTTATGGATGGACGGACAACAGACCACAGAATTTTGACCCCTCAGACTCCAAGGGTGGTGGGGACTGTATGATTTACAATTTTGGTACACTTTAGCCATGGAAGGTTTCTGCAAAATTTCATTGAAATTGGGACAGGAATTTTCCATAAGAAATCAAAGATATCAAAAGTTTATGACATATGACGCAAAATGACAGACAAAAGGCGATTGCAATAGGTCACAATGAGACTTTGTCTCAAGTGACCTAAAAATCTTATTTTATCAGATACGGTTAAGGTATAAGAGGTAGATCATTTCGTAATCAAACAGCATATTGTTCCTGGATTAAAAATTCTCATTAAATGATGCAGGGACGTATTATACAGAGGGATAAGAAACTGCCTGTCTCTTAGTAACACTAGAGCTATAGAAATTCTACCTAATTATAGCCTTGTTGTTTTTATAAATCATTTTTCTCAAAAAAAAACATTGCCAATCTTTTCAAAATAAACAGCAGTACAAAGCTTAATTATTTTCTAATTGATTATGTTAACTTTTGTATGAAATAATTTCAGTTCACTTCTGATATTTTAACCCTGGAGTATTGAGGATTTTTCAATTCATTAGCATTGTTTTTGTTACAAAAATATGAATCACTTCTCTCTGGCCGACCAAATGGCTTCGATTAGGCCAGTCTGTGCAATGTCCATACTTATAACGGTATTACAGTATGGGAACATATAGAAGGGTCTTCAATGACTTCACGGCTCAGTGAACAAACACCAAAGCTAACGCCAGAGAAGTCTATAGGGCATAGCTTGTTACCCTCTTTATCATATTTACCAAAGTTTTACAAGAAAACTCTCATCATGGTACAATATTTATCCTACCAGGTTATATTGGATATTTTGTAACTAAGACTTTGTTTAATGTTTTATATTGGTGATGTTAACTTAATGTAATATTTACATTTTAGAAAGTGGCAGATTGCCTCAAGATTGGATTTTATTTGTCTTTTGTCATTATCATTTCATTCTCTACACGTTATCATTTGAATATTCATTATGAGTTACACCTGGGAAAACAATAAATGCTGTGGTTGTTTGTACATGTGATTATATAAATTGTGTCAATTTTTAATAAAAGTGTTTTTAAGATATTTGAAGTGAGCTGGGGTAGATTTTCACAACAACATATATGATATGCTAACTTGTACATATTTACTTATTTAAACAATTAGTTCTACAGACAGCTGTACATTGATAAAATATTTCTAATTGTGTTTAAAAACTGTCACAAGAATTTCTCTTTTGGGCAGATGACTTATTAATATTTGAATTCAAATGTCCATATGTGTTCCTATTTTCAAAATCATTTGTTGAATTTATGTAATATTTATTTTCCGAGCGTATGTTGCTGCTATGTGGCTCCGAAAGGAAATGCCTACAGTTCAGACCCTACAATACAACTGACCAGTTCCTTCAACCACATCAACAAATCTTCTGCTACTACACTTACCACGACCGGTCACCGTCATCTGGTCATGGTCGCTCGTCTTCACAGCCATGTATACGTCGAAAGAAGGGACACAACTCTAGATTTCACACGTGCATTACGGCTTTCTTTCCGTCTGAATATTTAATGCTATGCAGGTGATGTCAATAAGTAGAGAGAACAATTTCTATATATAATATTGAAAATGCATGATGGGGTCAAGTGTGAAAATGACATCTTAAACTGACTAAGAAATCAACTTTATTAACGAGAAAACTTTTAATTAACTGTTCTGTTGTTAAATACTTAACATATATTATGTGCATTCAATATATTTTACAAGAATGCAGCGAAAATGTCGATTTTTTTTCAAGCGTGCGCATTTGCTTCAATACAAGATAAAGAGTTTGAAATAAAATTGAGACGATCTTGTTGAAATTGAAATCTGTAGTAACAGTTCTATTACATAAATATCTACAGGAACTGACATATGTAACAAGATATATATCTAAGTCAATAGCAGAGATCAGCTTGGATTTATTGCCGATTGTGTAATGAATACAAAAATATGATTCGAAGCTTAAGACGGCGATGTTATGACTTAACCACAATCGGTTATCCGCTGTGTTGTTCCTACACCATACATGCTAGAGACCGCTCTCCAAAACGAAGAAATGATAAAAGAACTCGCCATGCCCCTGGTGACACGTGTATGTGCATATTGAACAAATCATGTGATCCTGTTGTGACATAATCTAAAGAACTTACACATGTTGCAGGATTATTAACGGATGACGTAATGTCCTCAGGAGGTACTTAGATAACAAAATAATACATAGAATTAGCAATGACTTCGAAACCCGAGGTGGCTTTTCGTAGGTAAATGGATTGGTTACACTTCTAACAATCTGTTAAAACAGGACTTCAGTACATAATGATAATAGCACAAAGCACAAAGAAAATGACGTCTTGTCTGTAACAAGTCTGGTTCACAGGGATTTGGAACGAATTGCAGACCCACGGCCCATACATATGTAACCACAGGGATTTGGCACGAATTCCAGACCCACGGCCCATACATATGTAACCACAGGGATTTGGCACGAATTGCAGACCCACGGACCATACATATGTAACCACAGGGATTTGGCACGAATTCCAGACCCACGGCCCATACATATGTAACCACAGGGATTTGGCACGAATTCCAGACCCACGGCCCATACATATGTAACCACAGGGATTTGGCACGAATTGCAGACCCACGGCCCATACATATATAACCACAGGGATTTGGCACGAATTCCAGACCCACGGCCCATACATATATAACCACAGGGATTTGGCACGAATTCCAGACCCACGGCCCATACATATGTAACCACAGGGATTTGGCACGAATTCTCTACCCATGGTCTATATATTTGTATTATTGTCATTATGATCATATGTATGGACCATAGGTCGGGAATTCGTGCCGAATCCCTGTGCTCTGGACAGTCACATGTGCAGCTGTATTTCAATGGGATACCATGGGTTATGTCCCCTTAGCGCTTATCTGTAATAGTTCTGAAAACGGATATGACATTGTATTTGCTCGTATTGACATTGTCAAATGGATGTTTTAAAAACCACCTTCTACAATATAATGTCCTAATACGAAAATTAGATGTGTACTTGGCCGTTATTTCTTGACACGTGAAATTAAGATGTCCTTATAAACTATGAGACGCTCTATACTACATTCGAGACCATGTTTCAGGACGGTTTGATCCATGAGACTGTGACCAGAAGGGTAACGTCTTGTAATTCCCCTTTTCATGACAAGAGTCGATATGATTAGTAACGGAAATGCTGATGTTGGGAACTCATATGGTGTCCCGTTTTAAGTGGCCAAGGACTTTTACCCAGAGTAGCAACGAAGTGAAAACATGATGGCGATATTTTCGATCCTTCGCTGTCGTGACATGGTTCCTTCGTGTTTATGTCGAAGAAGTGAGATTGCTCAGTCGAACCTTCGCGTTTAGAGACAAGCTTCAGTGTTTTTTGTAGGTTTTCTTTTTCAGGCGAGACCATAACACCAGTTCCGTAATTTTGAAGAGTTCCAAAGACAAAGCATGACTCCAGGACTTCATTGCTCGTGAATATCCTTGGAGAGGAGTGCTACCATTGAGAAATGGAAAATTCACAATCGGAGAAAATTAATCTACCACATTTACAGCATACGTTTTAATGGTAGTCTCTCTATAAGTAACGTTATCACTAAGTTCAGATTTCATTAGCTCAAACGAAAAAACACCTTTCAACAACCAATAGAAAAAGATTGGAACAACATGAATGTGTACGCCATGAGATATTAGTCACGTTGTAAGATTTACGGGGATCAACTTATTACCGTAACCTTAATAAAGTAAATAATTTATTTTCATTCCCAAGAATGCAGAATTGTTTAAAAATTTTGAAACAAGGAAGAAACAATGTTATGTACACTATTACACCTGCGTATGACGTAATTTCCCTCACAAGTTCTATCCCCGGATGTTGACATACAGATTAAGACATTTTGGTACCTAGTACATGTATTGTTCCATTATTTGCAGGGACGTTGGGTTTATTAACGCGATAAAATCCCTGAGTGACGAGTTTATCACGACTCTGATACCAAAGTTTGCTCCATATATTGTATACTAAAAGATTTCTTGTCCATTAACACAGAAATAGAACTGTAGGTCCGTGTCGACACGACTGCGGGGAGAATACACTTAGTGCTGAGTCATGTGACTTTGTGAGGACAAAAACCATAATGTCAAAATTGTAAATGGCTACATGCGCGTTCATAACAGCATGTGTATGTTAGACTACCACATCAAAATAACATTAACACTAGATAAGGAATATGTGTCAAGAGTTCGTACCGACAAGTCAAAGAAGCAATGATTACATAAGTCGGTGGCAGCAGCAATTTCCAAACAAAGCATGGGAAACGATACAAATTTCCTCCCGGTTCCATCTGCATTTAAGCTCGATAAAGAAAGTGGCCTATTGTCTGAAGTTTGATAAAAGTCCCTCAAGAAATGAAACCGCAAAAACGATTTTATAAAAATTGTTACGGTGACCTTGACATTGACCCTAGAACCCTAAAACTCAAATTTGTTTAATATATTAGTCATTCATTTAAGTGTGCTAATATTGATGATGAAAATCCCTCCAACGAAATGACGACAACACCGAAAAGGATTTCCAAAATATTGTAATGGTAATATTGATCTTAATTCTGAAATTCGAACTCGTCCGAGTTATAGCAATCCTTTTTAAATATTTGAAGCATTATGATGAAAAGCACTTAACAAATGATGCCGCTAGAGCGCTGACAAGGATTGCCTAAAAATAGTAACTATGACCTTAATTTTTTACATGTTATGACTCTTTACAAGCGTGTAGTTTAATTTCCTCTAGGAATGAAGCCACTGTAGTGCTGGTAAGGATAATAGTATCACGCACGAGAACATCCCTATGTCAGGGGATAAGTAATTTACTTAAGTTTTTGTTTTTTATGACCAAAAATCGGAAATAAAAATCTCGACAAAAATGCAAATAGACATCTAATGAAAAGTTAAGCGATTTTGTTGTGTGTGTGATTTTTAGGAGGGACGATAATTGGTACAGGCAGGTAAACCGATGAGCTTTTAAACTCTCTACTTTATTAGTGTATAAACTATTGAATTAACAATCGACGGCTGGACTTAATGAGTTTTATTATGTCACAATGAATATTGTTTAAAACATTACCAATGATGAAGTATAGAACAGAGATCTATAATTATATATCAGTTACCTGACCAGGAGGCACATAAACGGATAGGACGAAGTGACTTTTAGTTGTAAACAAGAAAAACAAGCAAATAAAACTTATCTTTTAAACGACATGATATATATAACAAGGATTTAAACATAGAAATGAAAATATATGTGAATTCTTAGATTTTACAAAATACATATTGGTAGGAACCAGTATCTAAACAAGCAATAGAAGTATAATATTTCCTGTCATATCGCTCAATGTTTTGTCAGAGAGACAGTCGTAAGCTGTCTGATATAAGGCATGTTATATCTGGGACCCCAGATCGACAGGTATCCGGTATAAAGTTTCAAACAAATATATGTCTGTAGATATACCATTAACAATTACAATGGTGTTGAGAACACAAATCTGAGGAGAGCACTGTTATATTATACCATTATCAAAACATAATGGTGCCTTTTTCCATTTCTATAGTTAAACAAAGTCTCCCATTCCGATAGTTACACGGAATCTTCCATTTCTCTAGTTACACGGAATCTTCCATTCCTCTAGTTACACGGAGTCTTCCATTCCTCTAGTTACACGGAATCTTCCATTCCTCTAGTTACACGGAGTCTTCCATTCCTCTAGTTACACGGAATCTTCCATTCCTCTAGTTACACGGAATCTTCCATTCCTCTAGTTACACGGAGTCTTCCATTCCTCTAGTTACACGGAGTCTTCCATTCCTCTAGTTACACGGAATCTTCCATTCCTCTAGTTACACGGAATCTTCCATTCCTCTAGTTACACGGAATCTTCCATTCCTCTAGTTACACGGAATCTTCCATTCCTCTAGTTACACGGAGTCTTCCATTCCTCTAGTTACACGGAGTCTTCCATTCCTCTAGTTACACGGAGTCTTCCATTCCTCTAGTTACACGGAGTCTTCCATTCCTCTAGTTACACGGAGTCTTCCATTCCTCTAGTTACACGGAGTCTTCCATTCCTCTAGTTACACGGAGTCTTCCATTCCTCTAGTTACACGGAGTCTTCCATTCCTCTAGTTACACAGTATCTTCCATTCCTCTAGTTACACGGAATCTTCCATTCCTCTAGTTACACGGAATCTTCCATTCCTCTAGTTACACGGAGTCTTCCATTCCTCTAGTTACACGGAGTCTTCCATTCCTCTAGTTACACGGAATCTTCCATTCCTCTAGTTACACGGAGTCTTCCATTCCTCTAGTTACACGGAATCTTCCATTCCTCTAGCTACACGGAATCTTCCATTCCTCTAGCTACACGGAATCTTCCCCTCCTATAGTAACATGAAATCTTCGATTCTTATAGTTATATGAAGTCTTCCATTCTAACGGTTATACTATGAAATGGTCAAGATATCCCACCGCTTGGAAATACTGCAGTCAGTTTGAAAGCTTATTATACTAAATCTGTTCCTTCCAGTACGGGATCTGTCGTCGTCAGATGGGACCCTTGCTGGCCTCGTTGCCAGATGTCAGAAATGGGAGCACGCGGTTCAGGATTCATTTTGGAAATGGGTAAAATTGGAGTCATACAAAGTGCTTCCCGACAATCAGCGTTCCGGCTCGTGTGTTCTTGTCTGACCTCAGTAACGTCTTGTTCTCGGACCGGTGTGGACGAGTGGCTTGAGTGCATCCCCCACTTTCTCATCATATGGTCCCTGATGAAGTTAATAGGTGTCTGTTCCGGGATTCTGAATGGGCTCTCATGTAGCTTTGTATAAGCAGATGATGTGCGAGGTGTCGAGGTACTTCGTAACTTTGACTGACGCCGTGGCCATGGTGACCCGTACGGCGTACCTGTTATGCGTTCTCGCTGTGACATTTCCGCCGACTTGGTCGGGGAAGGTGGCGTTTCCGGCGGAATGCTTGAAGACTTTCTGTTACCAAGCGACGACTGGGAGGCACTTTGTGCATTGGTCTTTGATGGGGGATTATACTTAATACGTATCACCTGGTGAGTTGCCTTCCATTTGTTGTATATCCTCAAATTTCGACGAAAAGCAAACTGAAAAAAGAACCACGACATAACCAGGGCACTAGAGCAGAAGCTCAATAGACCAGCTTTGGTCTAGATTCAAATTCCGAAATTACTCAATTCTTGGACAGAAAGATTTCATATTGTCCGGGAAATGTTAATAGTGTTATACTACTGATAAAAGGTTCGATGGAATTTCATTCACTGTATTTATATGAGCTTGGATGAAATAACCACTCTGTTATCACATGAACTAATATCTGCACAAGACAGTAGAGACCTGACATACGTACCCCACACCAGAGCATAAAGAAGCCGATGTTGACGGTGGCGAGGAGGATGAGACTAGTGGCCTCCCAGCTCTTCTTGGCGGACGTGAAGTGTGTAGCGCCAATCAGACAAGACAGTGTCGTGGCGATGGTAGAAGGAGCATACCACAAACAACAGCACAGATCAGCCAATAGTAAACGTCTTTCTCTACCCAACTTCTTATTGGTCAGGAACTACACAAAATAAAGGGAAACCAAGGGTACTTCACAGTTTGTAAATGTTATCAAAAACTCAAAACCTTTCCCCAAGTACAGAGCGAATGTTGACTTGGACAATATACGAAATTGTTACACATGAAGATTATACATAATTTTGACACTAGAGTGACGATCACATCCCGACGTCCATTTTGTCTGGTACTTCTACGCGAGATATGGCGAGTAGTGACGTCGTAATTAAAACGGCGTCATATTTAACTGTTTTTTCTGACGCATAACCGAAAGTTTGATATATGCAAATATTTTTTCTAAAAGAATATCAGTCTTTGTTTGGAATAAATCTATCTCGAAGACGGGTATGATTGTTTTGGGCATCGCACAAGCAATAGTGTAACCCTGGAGTTAGAGCAGATCTATTCTAAGTCTGGTGAAACAGATATACAGCATATTTGGCAATGTTGGTATCAATGATTTTACCTACCCATTTGCAGGATCTTGGTTTCTTGTTGATGGAAAATTGAAACTGACATATTTCACATTTAGTCGTGTCGGAGGTACCGAGCCACTGTTCCAGACAGGCCACGTGTAGCATACCCATAGACCCGGAACAGAAACATGGGGAGATGAGAGGCTGTTCTACGTCATCATCGTGACAAATCCGGCACACCACCACACCATCACTACAAACACACAAACACGGGAGGATAAATCTCTTCGGAAAACGTTGAACGTTGTGGTAAATAAAACAACTGGTTACCTGTAAGCTGTGGAATATAACGAGGCAAACGGAAGACTTATGAAACAATGCATATCTCACCGCAGACACAATGAAATAAATCGTTGGATTTTTATTTTGATGACGTCAGTAGAGCGGTAAAAAGGAGAGTATATCAAAGTAACATTCAAGGAATTTTACCTTCCTACAAAGGTCTCCAAAATTTCTTTGAGTTCTTTGAAGTAAGCTTTGACGGAAACAATTAAATGAAGTGCAATTTATGTCTAAAACGTAATACCAACTTTACACCTACACCTGAAGATTGTACAAAAGACAGACAAGCGAATAACATATTAAGTACAGTAGAGTAACACTGAATAAAACTGCACCATACAGCTGTTTGGTCATTTAAAAACTCGTCAATGATGCAAAGAGCCTAAAAAATCCGTAGTGATCGAAAGAAAGGTCAAAATCTAGACGGGGAGGTGCCCTACCCACATAATCAAGTAAACTGCGTAATTTAAAAAGAACGTCAAGTACATGTGTGTATAACAGTGTCACTATTCGAAAGAATTAAAACCAATGAATGTATGTGTAGTCCTCTGGTGGGAAAATTTGCCCCAATCATGGCTACGCCCTTTCAGAAATTGCCTCAAAATCTTAAAAGGAATTTTGATGCAATAAAAGCAAAAATACAATGATAAGAAAGAAAGAAGTCAACATTTAAATCTAATAACATCTCTCAGACCTCTATGTTGAAAGTTTACTTTTTTAAAAAAAATCCTATTCAGCATAACGTGTAAACGATTATGACACGCGATCAAAATCAAATCTTGGTCAGCATATCGGTCTCAACCAGAGAAAGAAGAGTTGTCTCCCCTTATACACAGCGTTGGTACATATTAACTATCCTTATTGGTACTATTTTAGGTTGAAGAAAATATTAAGTAGACCTTGGTAAGTATATGTATTTGTCAGTGTGGTATGAAGGATTTATAAATCTACTATTTCAGATGCATGAAATACTTGTTCGGATTAATAATGATGTCATTCTAGCTTGCTAGATTTTGGCATGGATATTCTAACTAGCTGCAATACGAATTTGATATTTGACATACAGGTGCGTGCAAGTTATACGTTTTTGTTATATTTATGAACATGGTCGCAATTCTTTATATTTTCATGCCATTGGGTTCTCCTTCTTTTATCAAAGAGATCAAAGGCACTAAGTATGTTTCACAACCAATTGTAGATAGAACAATGTCTGTGATGCAAAGTAATTAAACTGTGCGAAGAAGAAAGGTATTTCAAGTTTTAAAGGATAAATATTGAATACTATATACAAGTGCCTTTGATTGTGTACCTGATCTCTGCAGGGGCGGGGAGAGAACGGTCAGCGATGTCAACAGAGATCACTCTGGACATTTTAGACTTGTTATGGCTGTCACGTGTCTGCTGCACCCAGCGTGAGGTTCGAACTGCGGTCAAACTCTCTTCATCCTCGGTGTAACTTTCTACAGATACGCTTTCGGTACTCTCGTCACAGGCTAGCGGGTTCTCGTACACCTGTTCAGCATCGCCACCTTCATAGGTGTACTGAACACCCCGGGCTGAACCGTCTTTTCCGCATTCCTGGAGAACAAAAGTGATAGGGTTTGGTATATATCTTTTACATTTCAATGTGGTTTATAACATTGACATAGACAACAACAAAAGTTATGGACTCCATCCATCATCATCATCATCATCATCATCATCATCATCATCATCATCATCATCATCATCATCATCATCATCATCATGTATATACCTGTGTAATCATCCTAACTTTGTATCCTATATTGACCCATACATTACGTTTTTCAACACCATCACTTTATTTTTACACTTTATTCAAATTTATACATACCATCGCACATATTCAAATTTAGGTTAAAAATAAGGTTGAATACAAAAAGTCGGTTGATTCAGAAGCTATGGTGTTGTGTCATGTCACACTTTCTACCAACACGTTATTCAACGTGTCACACTCTCTAACAACACGTTATTCAACGTGCCAAGTCTCTACCAACACGTTATTCAACGTGTCACACTCTCTAACAACACGTTATTCAACGTGCCAAGTCTCTACCAACACGTTATTCAATGTGTCACACTCTCTGCCAATACGTTCTTCAACATGTCACACTCTCAACCAACACGTTATACAACGTGTCAACTCTCTACCAACACGATATTCAACGTGTCAACTCTCTACCAACACGATATTCAACGTGTCAACTCTCTACCAACACGTTATACAACGTGTCAACTCTCTACCAACACGTTATACAACGTGTCAACTCTCTACCTACACGTTATTTACCGTTTCACACTGTCTAACAATATGATATTCACCGTGTCCCGCTGTCTATGTTAATTATCAAGAGCTTACTTCCTGTTTTCATTATTCGTAAAAGATTATGAATGTTTATCTGGAACAGTTTTGTAAATAATATCAAAGTATCCGTAATACTAATGAAGTATGAACACATTTGGTACATGCACTTCTGCCGTTGATACAGTATATGTTTTCTAATGAATTTATTTTTAGAAAATATTAAATTAAAAAATACTGTTATTAGTAAGACATCCGTTTGTGGTGGAAATGAACCTAAACACTTTTGTTTATACGTGAAAAAGAATTAGGCTCAGTTCTATGTCTCGCTTGTCCAAATTAGGTGCACTAAAATATTTTTCATCAAGATATCAAAACTCACTAAAATATGACATTTTTCCCTCAAAAATATCACTATTCAGAGGAAGAGGAGAAAGACTCGTCTGTTACTTGACAGTACTTGTTTCAATATTATTGTAAATTAATTCTGGAGTGAATAGAACAAGAGACATCAAGACTTTTTATCAATTTATCAAAAGTCTGAATTTCTTATAAAAAATATACCCCAATTTTTTTTAAAAATCATGCAGTTTACTTGAGGATTTCTAATTTCCATACTACAATGTAACTAACTATATATCAAATTCAATTGTACTAGTACTTCGTTTTGATATTTTATAAATGATAGATGTGTTTAGATATCCACTATACGTGTCCTAGCTATGTCATGATAATTTTGAGTAAAGGATGTAGATGCCATCGTCGCCGCTGATCAGGCAACAACATAGCCTCGCTTCCACAACTTATCGTCGCAAGCGAGGCAAAGCTGCAAGGCCACTGTGACCTTGACAAAATTACGTAAAATGTGACATACATTGAAATCTACTTTCATCGAAATACGATGCTATTCTAAAGTCTCTTGACCGTAATCTTATTTTTTTCTTAATTTCCTGTTAAATTTTGAAGAATTATTTCATAAAGTCCCGAAGCTTAAGCACTTGTGTGAACTTGTGTCCGACATTTCATCTCTTTCTTACGACGTTTAGTCTCTTTCGTACAACATAATTATTTTTTCGTTCTTAAGACTAGCACGTTTTGAAGAACCTGCAACAGTTTGAGAACATCTTTGGATTTGCGAATCTGCAGTGAACTCCAACGGTTCCTCTCATTACATAGGACATGCTTACTGGTCGGTCATAACTGGTTTCCAACAATAACCGCTGACAATGACATATTTCCTCCACTGACTGATATGTTTATATTAGCTACATTTTCGTGAATATATATAATGTCTACTTTTCATTATTTACTATGAAACTTTTTGTCGGAAAACACAGGTGAGTACATTCTAAAAATAGATTCACTGACCAGTGCATGATTTTACTTACCTGTCGTTGGATTACGTCGTTCAGTGTATGGTTTTTGAATTGTAAACAAATTGGACAACATTTTTTATATAAATATAGTCGGGTTTAACAAAGATGTTAGTTATTTCAAACATGTCATTTTTGTGGTTATTTTTGAAAAAAAAAAATTATAACTAACCTGTACAACAACGTGTTTCGACATCAGAGAAGAAAATCCTCTGTAATGAGAGGATATGGTTGAGTTCCAGTAAATACTCAAAAATCTTAGATGCTCAAACCTGTGACAGTCCAAATAGAATGTACTGAGGGAATGGAAATCATCGGTGAGAAAAACTTCAGGAAATTTCAGCGGTTTAGAATTCGTACGACCTTGTCATGCAAGAGTAAAGCAAAATATTCTGTCAGCTCAGATTTGGAGGACAAAACATATACATACAGCGTCAGCTTTGATTGAATAAACTGTTGTATCCATGGAAGTTTGTTTGATATGTAACTGAGGGGGCTTGGCAGTTAGGGACAGGTAGAACACAAAGCATTCTATTGAATACGTCAAATGTGACTAGATCAGGTAGATTATATAAATTATTACGTTGAGGAAGCAGTCCATGTAGATAATTTAGTATTCCGTGACGTATATAACTATTGTTGTACGGGGATGTGTAATACGGAAGTTTAAAAATACATTCAAAAAGTCTACATCCTCATGGATTTCTGGCCAATCACCTGAGAATTGGACCTTATTGTATGTTTATAACAGAGAACAGAGTTTACGTATATATCTACCAATTTTAACACATTTCACGTAACTATAGCTCCACAAAATTTCTTTTGACTTAATTATCATATTCGGGAAAAGTCTATATATTTCTGATAGATGACTTGCGCTGTGTTACAGTTCTCGTATGACAAACAATAGATCTTACCTGTCGGTCCGGAGGCGGGGCTTGGCCCTCAATCTCCACGATACCACTTACCTGGTGGGGAGGGGGTGTCCTCTTTCATTTCATTTAAATAAATCTCGTTGTATAAACATATACAAATGGATAAATCTTCTATATATAGATATATACATACGCGAAACATATGCAATATTACGGAATAGTAGATAATATCATTCTTCACCATATATTTTCTCTCTGTAAATATGAGCTTGATGCAGACTGAACATTCTAGATTTTAACAGGAAGTTGCCGGCAATTGATACTAATAATAACACATTGATTTGGATCAAATCAATGATACTATGAGTGAGATGAACGTAAAGATAACCTAGAGTGTAAATATTTACCTAAATTACATCATTCCTTTCTATTAGTAGCTGATAGTAGTTGCACAAGCTTAAAAGAAAATGGGCGGTTCCAGTAGTATCTTTTATAAACTTTTTGCGTAAATTTAATTATAAAGGGCAAATCAATATAAAATGGTATTCATCTTCAACCAAATTTTGATTACAGTAAACACAAAGTCTTCTTTCTCTATAAATGTTGTAAGATCTTCCTTCTTCTACACGCAACTGATGAGAAGATAAGCTAAATTTAGATATAAGACGAAGATAAGTATCTGGAACAGCTTTCGTCAAATAATGTTGTAAAGAATCTATCAAGAATTTGTACAAATAACATTTTGTGGAGTTTTCAATAAATTCATTACGCGACTGAAGAAAGCTATCAATAAGCGGTTGTTTAAAAAGATGTAAAAATAATTTCTCATTATTAATGACTTGACCAGACATTACCAAAACCAGTACTCAACAGTAATTTTTCAACCTGGCAAAGCCAGTTAAATTTTCTATGATTACAATAAACCATATCATCATACGCTGATTGTAATATACAATTATTGGTCTTAATTAATTTCAAGCAGTTCTTAATTATGCGACACTTCCAAGTGATACTCAGTGGTAAACGACCAAGTTCAGAATATAACATATAGGAAGGTGTACTTTTTTTAACATTCAAGATTTTTTTCAGAGAATCAGTATGTATTCTTTCTATTTGATCAGCAGATGAGAAATCCCAGACTTCACAGCTATAATTTAAAACAGAAGCTACACACGTGTCAAATACATTCAACTTGGTTTCCGTATTTAAGTTAAGATTATTACATATCTTCAAAATATTAAACATACATTTACGGCCTTAGTCAGCAATGATAAGCTGACTTTTAGCAAATCTACCATTAAAATTCAATGTAACACCAAGATAGCTAAAGCTATCCACAATTTCAATTTCATTATTTTCAATGGTCGTCTGCACAAACTCTACCTGCATTTCTAAAGATAACAATTTTAGTTTTTTTCAGTGTTAACTGACAGCTGCCATTTGTCGCTCTACTGTTTTAGGGAATCTAAAATGTTCTGGAGACCAGAGGCAGAATCCGCGAACACAACTGTGTCATCGGCATACATTAACAAGAATAATGAAATATCTCTCAAAAACATTGCATCACATGAGGTATAATTAATGAATTCATTTTCAGGGTCATTTACATACATAGAGTAGAGGAAGGGAGACAACCCTTCTCCTGCATCAAGCCTTGTGTGCACGAGAAGAAATCAGAGAGCTCATTTCTGTATGTAACACATGACATTAAATAAGCATAAACAGATTTTATAATGTCTAATAATTTACCCCGAATTCCTCCGGATATAATTTAAAAAACAATTTATTCCTGTTAACACTATCAAAGGCTTTACGGTAATCTACAAAACAACAGTATAATTTACCACGCTGTTTGGAGAGAACGTTTTTATGATAGAGTGTAAAGCAAATATAACATCATTAGTGCCATGGCCAGGTTTAAATCCAAACTGGGCATCTGTTACAATATGAAACTGTTCGGACCATTTCAATAGTCTACTATTCAAAACACTTAATTTTGATAAGCAACTTACCAATGTTATCCCTCTATAGTTGTTTGTGACATTGGGATCTCCTTTCTTAAATAATGGGAAAATAACACCCTCTGACCAACTTGATGGGAATACCCCTTTTTCAAAAATTGCATTAAACAATGAAGTTAGTATAGGTATAAAAACTCCTTTGTGTTTTATGAAAAATTCATTCAACAAATTATCCATACCTGGTGACTTGCCAGATTTGGCCTTATTTAAAACTTCTCTGATTTCGTCATTCGTAAATGGTCGATCTAGTTCCTCAAAAACAGCTACATTATCCTCCAAAAACAAAGATTCTGAATTGTCATCAGCAACACCACTGCCATGTACAGTTTTAAAATGTTCAAAAAAGTCTGAAATGTTCAAATTGCTCGAGCAGGACTTTGGTTTTCTTTTTTAATACTGATAAAATAATTTAGGATTTTGCCTGCGTAGCCTACTTAAGCGGTCGCCTTCTGATCTAAGATATTTTCGCTTTACAAGTCTTGCATGACGCTTATATTTACGTCTTGAGTCAACAAGAATTGTTCTGTTTAAAGTTGATCTGTTTAAATTGAAAGATCTAATATTACGTTTATATGATGTATATAGTCGTCTACACTTTTCATCAAACCAGGGTTTAAGAACCAGACTCCTCTTCATATTACTAGAAAACTTGGAAATATTTTGAGTTTTACAACAAGGTTTAAAAACATCACATAAGACAGAGGAAAATGCATCTATTCCCTACTCAACTGAAACTGTGTCGGACTGAATGTCATTCACAATGTCATTTTATAAATCAATATTATTATTAATGTTATTAGTCATTTCCTGCATTTCATCATTATTCCATTGATACACATGTAATTTACCGGAAACATTGCTATTTGTACTAGCACTGTCCTTATCTACAGGTACATCAGCTAGACATGTTTGGGTACTCAACTTAAAAGTAATTTGTGCATGATCAGACCATTCATTAAATTCCTGCACAGTAAATTCTGTTACCAAATCAAATGAATCTACCAGAACTCAGTCGATGACACTCGATCCCAGATGATTGTAAAAAGTAAATCTACCACTTTCATCATTTGGAATTCTACCGTTACAGACTCGTAACCGGGTGCTTTTGCACAATGGTAGAAGTTTACGACCAAAAGTATTTACAGTTACATCACGTGATAAACGATTAGGCATTACACTACCTGACTCGTAGAAGTACTGGCCGGAGAGCATTACATTATCCGGAGAGCATTACATTATCCGACTCAATACAGTCAAGAGCAGTACCAGTTCTGCTAATAAGGTCACCAGCAACAATAACGGGACCCAGTAGCGAAAAATGAGAGATACCGTCGCTTAATGTTTCAAAAACATCTGTTTCGTACAATGTATAATACATATTATTATCATGGGGAATGTAAGAGAAACAAATATAGATATCTGATAATACAGATTGCATGATTTTGACCCACAGAAGTGTATCAACTACAAATGAAGCTATAGATACAGCTTAACTAGATCTATACAACAGCACCAGGCCACCGCCTTTACCTTTTTGACGAGGATAGACCTGTAGAACACTTAAACTCATCATGACCATAACTAAAATCTAAAGCACTATCTTTAGCCAACCACATTCGGATAAGAAAACAATATCTTAATCTAATAATAACTCAACAAAGTCTGGATTAGTTCATTTATATCGGAGACTCCGGTTTACGCTCCAAGATAGGATTTTAACATCCTCCCGACACCCTTATGATTCTTGTGTACTGTCCTCCTTCTTGTAGGGGTACCCTTGACCCTCATCCTCCCCGATACCACGTACCTGGCGATCGTAGGGGTACCCTTGACCCTCATCCTCCCTGATACCGCGTACCTGGCGATCGTAGGGGTACCCCTAACCCTCATCCTCCCCGAAACCACGTACCTGGCGATCGTAAGGGTACCTTTGACCCTCATACTCCCCGATACCACGTAGGGGTACCCCTGACCCTCATCCTCCCCTATACAACGTACCTGACGATCGTAGGGGTACCCTTGACCCTCATCCTCCCCGATACCACATGCCATCAGGTACGATCCATTTAGGGTTCGACTCAGATTCTTAGTTTGCCCACCGTGGGTACATCCCAAGGACGAATCCATCTCCACCAGTATCAATGGTCAAACTGACCGGTACCGAGCAGTCGACTGACCCCTGTCCATGATGAGTTCTTAGGGTATGATATCTACTCACTTGCCAGGTAAATTGTTCTAAACCCATCGCGATAGGAACCTTACATTAGAAACAATACGGGTAGTCCTTGGTCACGGTGAACAGGTGTTAATGACCACGATTTATTGCGATTGCTAATGGACCCAAATGTACATTACTTCAGGTGCAAATTTTTCAGGTAATCGGTTGTTCAATGGTACAATTGAAGATGAAACTCACATTATAGTGTTATGTCCAAATTATTTGAATTAAGAATATTATGCACCAAGTCACATTTTACCGTCGATATTCTAATTGACTGATTCTCTAGCAATAACATGAATATGTTTTGAAATATTTATAGATATCTAATTCGTGCTGCGATAAACAGGAATTATTTTTACAAAATACTTTATTTTTCCGTAAGATATAGATGTAGGATTTTGAAGCAATTTCTATGTCGACAGAGTTATGCATGAGTGGTTTTAAAGATGTTTCATTTTGGCGAGCCTCTGGCACGAAGAGGAGTTTCACAAGTTTCTTGCTGGTGTGATGAAAAAACCCGATATTTTCTCCTTAGCGTAATTTCCTTAGACTAACACAGTGTATTTTCATTGTCTCCATAGTAACGTCATAATGTGCTTCTGTCTGTTAAAGTTACTTCACATTTTTCTTTAAATGTTTCTTAAAAGTTATTGATATAAAATCAAGATCCAATATCAGCCATATACATAATTCGATAGAATATCCCCACCAGTAAATGTTACTGTGTCATTAAATTACAATAAGAATGATCTAAAATGCGGAATACAGTTTTTTTTATTTGGGGAACAATGTGATGAAAACGAGTAAATGAACAAACTCAGAGTACCAGACATGGGGAGATTGACGTGCGGACAGTCTCTCGACTCACGACTGTTACAGTATATTGGTTTTGCCACATAACACCAAGTCCTTCCAAGCAATGTTATAGGGTGTACAAGATAGCATGCGTGTAACCTCTTTTAGCAATAGGAACGTTTTAGAGGTGATATAGGTTGATTTTCCTGACATAGGCGACACAAGCTACGATGTCTAAATGTCAAACTTAACGTCTCCGGTGCCACGATGAAGATGGATATCAGTTTTTTTTCTACCTACCATTTCCCAAGTGTTTGCCTTGAAACAACATTTTTGTGACTGATTTACGCAACATTTCAATGCAACGTCCATCATTGTTGATAAAGGTCATCATATTATCCAGTCAACGTCATTTACACAAATGTTAAAATACGCCTCGAAATACCATTTACTTACACGTGTGTTAATACATTTGTAGAACTACTGTTCGGAAGATTTTGAGCAGTCGGTATTCATTTTTAAATGATCGGTAGCGGTCTTTTAATTGACTGTTTCTTGAGATTTCATGAAAAGTCATAATACAAAAAAAGAGATAACATTAGAAAATACAAAGCAAAATTGGTGCTTAGCGAGCGGCGAACCCCGTTATAGATTCAGTATTTAAACATTTCATGCTAGGATAACGTTCAATTTGTGTTTCTCTATCGATAGAGTTCTGAAAAGAAAGAACAGTATCGTCCGATATATGGTTTTTAGCATGCATTGCAAACACTCATGTTTTTTTTTCAATGGGAGTGCGGACAAAGACGATTTAGTGTAGAAACCTAATAGGTGTCATATATTTTTCTTTCTGTAATTGTTTTTCGTTTGATTTGGATATCTGATATATAAATGTACTGTATTGCCACAGACTTACAGTCCGTGGTATTGTATATAAATAACTGCTAAAGTTACTGTGTCCCTCGGAGAGGCATTGTCAGTTTGGGGAAGTAATCAAAGAGCAATGGTCGAAATGAAGTAATTGTGGATTTTTAACAGTGATATTTTGTTATTAATATTTCTTGAGAAGTGTAAGAGGTTTTTATTTAATTCAAATTTCCTGGGTAGGTTCACCTTAATTGTTTGATTTTGGAACTGGTCGGGAAAGCAAAATGACCGAGAGGCATCCATCTTGGATTTTGAAAATATGGTATATTATTGCTTTATTGGACGAGTAACTCTCAAATGTATATACAATCCAGAGGACAACAGAGAAAAGGGGTACTATCAAGCTGTAAAACAAGCATGGCGCCAAGACCCGCGTGGGCTATTCTGTTTAGTACCACCTTGTATTTGTATATTTCTGTGCTCTAAAGGATATACCTCGAATGACCGACAATTATTAAGTACAGATGTAAATAACTTTCACATATGTTGTTTTGTATTCTCAGTGTATGCACATAGCGTAATGAGATGAAAATGTAATGGGCCGTCTCTCGTCAAACTGATGAAAATTTACAAGAGATCCATGAAGGATCTGGACACTCATACCCGAAGATCTTCAAGTCTAGGAGAAATTGTTCTTTCCTCTTCAATTTTGTCCAGCAGTGAATGAATCAAACTAAAACGAGTTTGAAGATTCCTCCTTATTTAATTTGAAACGGTCCTTTCCAAGTGAAATGCCAATGCATTAACTAGTACTAGTGTGTCAAAACCAGCTTCAACAACTACAAATACCAAATTCCAAGCATGTGACTGGTGCCAATCTTGCATACTTTGACGCACAGGGGCTTGACAAGGAGCAGCGTCAATATAAACTATTGCCATGTGACTATTGAACCTCTTAGCTATGCTTCCTCCTACGACTACAAGAGATATATAGACAGAAGGCACAGTCGAGAGGATTAAATAGCTACTTGACAATCATACAGTGACGATGGTCCGTATCTAACCACCGTGATTTTATGAGACATCGAAGTGTAGTACACGCACGCAGGACCTATACTCAACCCTTCCAGAATACTGAAAACCAGAGGCCTATAGAGACTGTCGCTCGCCTATTGTCCGACCATTGATGTACAGTTTGGAATTTCTTCCATCCAATGATCCCCTTACACATTTGGTTAAAACACTTTCAATCCGACAGAGGGACTATAAAACATTACCTATAGCTCTTCCGTCCAGATTTGTGGTTAGACTGGCTGCATATAAAAATTTGGGGCTTGCACCAAAGGATGCTTCAGATGAAAATTGAACAAAATATTTTCATTCCTTTAGAAGATAAATAAAAATAAAAAAAAACCTGCTAAATTTACCCTTTCCAATCCCATCGTTTAGACAAAGTCCTGTTTAATGAATCGCCAACGGATGCTCTAGCTCAACTCAACCCAACAGAAAGAGGATTTTCAATCCCACCCGTCTGTGCCAGGCACATTAAAAAAAGTTACAATTGAGAGCTATCATCCTAAACGACCGTTGTCGACTATCTTGTAGAGCTGATCAACCGAAATATGTGGAAGCACAACTGGGCTCTACACAAGTCATATACAAGTTTAAGATCCTTGGTGTCAAACTTTACATCTTAATCCAATATGGTTGCTAAGGCAATCAGGAAATGTCGATCAATCCAAATCTGGTGGCGTGCACAATAGAGCTTACACTGTACTTATCAAAGTTTGAACATCATTCCTTTATACAGATCTCATGCCAGAAGCCATATTCATCAACCTATAAACAGCACAACACAAGTAGGGTCTATACTTAACACACCGAAGTTTCAAACAAGACCCTTTATATTTAATAGTTGTTGAAAAAATGTCAATGCGATGTTTTAAGACCCCTCAATTGTTTCTGAATATGAAATAGTGATGACAAGAACCAAATATAGGGCAGATGGAAGATCACTATTGAAACGCCTATCTGATGAGACAAGATTTCTATTAAGCACTGACATTATACATGCCAAGGGTGAAACACTTTGTAAAGTTCTCTCTAAATTCTAGTATATTATCAGGTTTGTTGGTATAAAGAAAACAATCTCAGAAACAAAGAAAGGTGTTCAACACTTTCTAGAGATTAGCAGGTCAGAGGATTTTTTTATCGCTTTCCTTCTTCGCCTTCATTGACACAATTTCAAGAAAATAATATATCAGTCACAGTGAAACCAGTATGATTTACCTTGCTATATTATCCCATATTTAAATGAGATTAAATACATAAAGATCATGTCTATGGTATTTTATAAGAAATAAAAACAAACAGTCTTGATGTGAACCAGACACGTTTAATTTAGTAAATTGATTTAGTCCCTCATCATCATCTTTTGCCTCTTAAGTTTCTTCTGTGAGACCTTCTTTTTGACTGGTTCATCATCACCACCAGGGCCGGGGCGGGGCACAGCCTGCTCCCTCTCCGCAAGAATCACCTCAATGTGACATGGGCTGCTCATGTAAGCTGTCAACAGAACAAAAGCAATTGTTATCTCCACTTGTAGAATAGAAATTAACGTTTCACAATATGTTGTAGAGATTGAAATATTTTACAAATGTGCTTAGCAGATTAATTCTGATATATTTACTAATATTTCTATACTCCTCTAACTGTGGTAGGCTCAATTCCAAACAATATCTCATTTTATTTACTGCATAATTTCCAACTATGTACCTTTGATATTTCAAAAACTTAGTCTCACTTAAAAGTGGTGGTTTTGGTATATTTTGACCAAGATATATTGTAAGTGTACTATGTTAAAGAGTGGTATTAATATAAGGTCATACCAGAAATTCAATGTCTATAGCAACGTCTGATGTAAATGATGTATCGCTTTCAAAAAGAAACGAACAAAGTGAAAAGAAGAGCACCAAATTCTCAAATGGGAAAAATAACACATTTCTATGTTCCCAAAAATACACCAAAAACACTAGAAAATTGACATGACAGGAAAGACTCTAAAACAAAGTGTTGGGTAGATACTGTATTTTTGTGTATTGCTTCATAGACACAATAATTTCTCTTTGCTTTGTGCTATTCAAGAAAGTGACCATGGCTGCTATATTGTATTTGGAACAGCCATGGAAAATAACATTACTTGGTTAGGACCACGTCAGAATCATGTCAGCTGAATACCACTCATGGAACTTGAAAATAAGTTCGAAATGTTAAAAGGTTATGCACAGCCCATGATGAAGGATGACACAATGGCTATAGATCATCCTAACCCTACAGGTCAGATGAACTCATAACTATATTTCAGTTGGATGTGTTGAGGTGTCCACAACGTGATTATATACTAAGTTTGTTTAAAGATGGAATAGCACTTTTCAAAAGGCCAGATCTAAATGCAAAACTTGAAAAGTGAAATTTTGTGGATGATTAATCCCCTGTAATACACTTTCATCTATTTAAAGGATTAATATACTAGTTGTTATAATAATATCCTCCATTCTCTCAATGAATCTGTATCCCATTTGTTAACCGAAATGTCAGTAGGACAGAAAAGGGCTGCTAATACTTACGATTGATACGTCCATGAGCCCTGTAGGTTCGTCTCCTCATTTTGGGAGCCTGGTTGACCATGATGTGTTCAATGACAAGATGATCAGTGTCAAGACCCTGTAAAACATGTTATAGTTCCATTGAATTGTCAACAGATTAGCCGGTGAGTATGTTTGTTCGGGTTACATACTAATAATGTATCCAGATTTATTTATACAAATTGCTAGAATACTTTCATTACATTTGCTCCTTTTAGTTTATATTCACTGAAGAAATATTCGAACACTTTCAATTGTCCTAAAAATTTTCTAATGTCTATGAACATTAGTAATAATTATGAACATCAGATAACAGCAAGTCACACTGGAATTTCATCAACTTTTCACCTAAATCTTCTAGATTTTATAAAGCATTCGAAAAATGAAGCATACCATAGAGTAATGAATATGTAACCCTGGTAATTAATCATTTAGATAGGTTATAAAGCAATATTATTACTTTAATCTGTTGCTACCACTTTTGTTTTTCTTTGCAACTAGATATGTCAGAGTGACATGAATGTCCTCACAAAATAGAACACTTCAGTGTTATTGGCTTGGTGAAAGGAGTACTCTAAGAGATAAAATTCAAATTCTGCCTACAGATTTTCTTTTCAAAATTCCTACTAGAGTTATTAAAGGCTCTAAAATATTGGTCTTGCCATTTTTGAGAAAATTTTAATCAAAATTCATTCAGTTAAATGGCCATAACTCTGGAAAAAATTGCTTGACCATAAGCTTAACCTGCAGATCATTATTAATAATTTACAGACCGAATTACAGATTTATACTAATATCAGTATCTGTTAAAGTGTAGCTTAAACAAAATTATGACAATATGACATACAAAAGTAACACTATATCATCCCCAATTCATGAAATGGCAGGGGCACAAAAATTAAAGAAGAAAGTAACAAGACTGAATATGTATAAAGAACACATATTTCTAATAACCTGCAGAGAAATGAGAAATTATAAACAGCTTGGTTTGTAAGTTGTTTAATGTTATAATCTAAGGATATATTTAAATGAATCTTATTTTTTTTTACTGCAATGCATCCCCTAATCAATGAAATAGGATGATGATTAACAACCTAAAATGGTAGCACAGCACTCTTACCTTGTATTCAGCATTGCTCTCAGCATTCTTCAATAGCTGGAGTAAGAACTCTGCACTTTTCTTTGGCCATCTACCTTGAGATGCTTTGAATGCCTTGGTCTGAAAAATAATCAGATACATATCATGGAGATAAATTATGGATTCTGTCAAATTTTTTAAATCATCATACACTATTTTTCGGTTGATTGATAAAAAATGCTGTCATTTCACAATAATATGACAATCCAAAATTAACTTTGTTGTGTTTGGTAGCAATGAAGTCTTGTGACTTTCGATTCAAATGAAATGCTCTGTACACATGAATACAGTGAAAATGTTTTTAGCAACTATTATGATATTGGTGTTTAGATGGGAGAAATTGACAGACCAAGATACTGATCAGACCTGAAAAACATAAATGAAGCACATGCCTTACAAGAGATCCCAGAGGGATCTTTATATACTCTTTGAAAGTTGGATCTTTCCCCTTCTTTTCTCTATTTTTGCTCTTAATGACATGACATTTGAACATTCCTTTGCAGAAATAGCGATGATAATCTTTACCTGCCAAATCCAAAATGGCCACCTGGAAGCCATTTTGTTTCTTCTGATCAGTCCCAAAATCAAACGGACACAACTAGGGAAAAAGGGGAACCTACATATGCAATTTGAGAAAGATCCATCTGGTACTTCTCAAGAAATAGCGATTAACAGAAATTGTTAACAGACAGACGGATGGACCACGGATGCAGAGTGATTTGAATAGCCCACCATCTGATGATGAGGAGCTAAAAATATGTGTAGACAGAAAATAGCCTATTACCTGTGCATTCCTACCAACACCACCATTGAATCTGCGGAAGGGAACAACCTCCTTCTTATCCACCACATTCTTTAGGTACTTTGTGGCTCGTGAGATATGCATACGTTTGATAGCCTGAGCCGTCTCCCTGGTGTTCTGGAACAAAACATATTGATAAATATTACATGGGTCCTACAGGTCACACATATCTGGTGAAACAACCAAGTCTAATGTAGGATATATATTGGGTACATATTCCTAACAAAATTTAACATTTACCACCTCTGCTCAAACTGGACTCTTCATTCTATCACACATATTCTAGAATACATATAGGTTATAGTAAATTGTTGAAGACATAGAAGTTAATTGTAGTATAGCAATATTGATGGATCATATTTAAAAATTCTCCACCATAAGAGTAGTATAGAACGACCTATAGCCAAGGTCCATTTTGGGCAATCCAAATGGTGTATAATTGACTAATTTCAGGTATTGCAATACTAATGACTGGCTGGTGATATATGGAGAGAAACTGTTCAAATTTTTGTTGATAGTCTTAATTTATACCATGATTAATCAAACCTTCTGGTTGACCAAGATTTGACGCATAGACATCAAAAGATAGCAACTTGAGCAAATTGGTTACATTTATATTTTATATTGCTTCAAAATTCATTAATTTTTTTATTTGGCTTACTGGAAGCAGTTAGCAACACTGCTAATTGTGTCACTAATTGTTTGACATAAAAATGAGAAAAACAAAGTTCTTACCTTGAAGTGAACCCTAAGGTATGAACCCCTAGCCTTTGCAGCTACAATGATAAAAACAACCAAATGAGTTGAAATAGCATGTCACTGTGTTTCAATCTGGACTGAAGTTTATAAGCAAATGCATCTCCTAGGTTGAATCATTAATACAAAAATATGTTCACACAATTGTTGTTATTGTTTTTCACAACTGCATTTCATTGCTTTGTTTTTGTCAAATTAGACATCAACATTTCCATTTTTACTGATGCTAACTAAAGAGGTCATCTTGATAGGAGGAAATTTCGGGCATTATTCTTCAAAATCAACTGAAAGGTGGAAAATGTCAAATAAATATCCAAACAAATCATTTTGTTTTATAAGAAAACCAATTTATCAATTTGAGTGTCTACAGATTACTTTGCCTCTTTTTTGTTACTTCCAAAAACCTTTTAACAATATATCTGGGCTGATCCAGGAAGGGACCCTTGGGTCCACAACCCCTTAAAGCTGATACTGAGCCCTATTTTTCCTTTTTTTTTTTTTGATGATCTACTATATTTTTGAAAATGAATAAAATTGCTAAAAATGGCCCAATGTTCTCAGCTCCCAGGATTTTCCTTGGATATAACAATACTCACACTTTGTGGGGTTCTCGGGCTCCGACGAATATCGTGTCATTATGTTGGCTGGTTCTGAAATTATAAAGTACAAATTGATCAGTGATAGATCTACATGCAGACCCCAAGTCCTGTACTCGTAGAATTTTTGGACTCCTCAGATTTCTGGAAATACTGAAACTTTACAAAGCAGGATCCATTATTTTTAGAACCAAAGTTGGAAAAGACTCATGAAAATACACTGAAATTGATCACTGATTGATGCGAGAAAATTCCATCCTAATTACTACATAAAATCAGCATGAATGTGAAGGATGTCAGAAAAGTGATCATGCCCATCATATTGTCTGAATGGAATGATTTAAAGGACAATGGTAACTATAAAATAGTATTCAAAATTTATGTAGAAAATGACAATGATCAGTATAATTAAGTGTTAAAATCTTAATTCAATTTGAAACTCTAACTTGTTTAAAGGATGGATATGGTTAACCAAAGATAATCTTTTAGCGACAGCACCAACACATACCTAAGGAAATTCAATAAAATATAACCAACAAAATTGATTTGCCTCATCTCCCTATTGCCTTTCCTTTATTGCAGCCTCTAAACATGTGTAAGTGACGGAGTACAACGAAACTATCAGACATATTTTCAAACAGGGTTGAGCACCTTAATAATAAGTCGACTGAAAGCACTCTTCTAAAACTACTGCCGAGTGCCTCAACTGTGGTCAACGCAAATTTCCTGCATAGTTATTTTCACACAAAATTATACGATGAGTGTAGATAGACGAGTAAAAAGACAGGTAGTATCATTCTTTCAAACATCCATGATCTTATCAACCAAATGCTTTGCCATATCCTGAAAATGGAGATGTATTGTTGACAAGTGTAATTGTGGAATCATTGCACCGTTACAAATGACAAAAACGCAAGACAAAGATTGCATCGGATAAACTCAACCTCGTATGTGTAACCACAACGAATGATTTCAAGGAGCTACTATTCCTTCCCCAAATGACCGATGTTCGTTTTTCCGAAAACCATAGGATTCATATCGTGAAGAAAATTTAAGTTTGTAAAGGAAATTGGTCGTTGTAAATTATGATGGTATGTGAGACATGTAGATTAAAGTTTATTCTTTCATATAATCATGATATGTGTGTATCATGTATTCAGATGGAGGAGATTCAGTTGGATTTCATAGGCATGATAAATAACTACACATTCTCACCCTAGATTGAGCCGGAAGAGGAAATTGGCATTTTGTAGCGATATTACTTCGCACACGCATTGCCTATATGAGTCTTAGATATTGGTTGGAACCTAGTCTTGTTATTTTTCGCATGAATGTTAAATATTCTGTCTCAACCTAAATGAAATATCGAAAGCATAAAGTTTTGAATAACTAGATAAATAAATCGGGTCTATTTTTGTTCGTACTGTTTGATTATCGTTATTATTATTGCATCAAAATTTATCAATATACATAGACAGCAGTTTATAACTGTGAATTTTTCTCCCCCTAAAAACATTGCAACATTTAAAACATTCACGAATACATTAAAAATTAGGAATGTTTCATTATGAAACATATTTGATATAATATAAAATATGGTTGGTAAACAAGCCAGAAGCTGATATTAGTTCAACGAGATCCTCTTACCGTCGACAGTCGGGAGTGTTTTGGCGAACCTAACATGCTCAGTCAACCCTTTCCTTATTGTGCAATATGGTTTTTAATGTTTCAAACGGCCTTTTTCAACATTGCATGAAAACAAAAACAAATCAGTCAATTTCCAACTAACTAATTACAAACTCTACGAGAGGAAATTCTATCATTTTCACGATTTCAGCTAAGTTCATTGTGGCAGGGTCGGTTTTTGCCATACCGGAGATTTACAGTTTCACGCACCGTTGGATACAAGCTCTCCGAATACCCAGAGAATGATCCTTCAGTTTGAAACGGGGTATAGAAGAGTTCAGAACGAAGGTGTAAAATTCAATTGTAGAATAAACCTTCAAATAAAAGCTCAATGTACTTTCCATGTTTATTAATCTTATTGATTATATTGATTTTAAGTTTCAGCGAGTTTTGTTCTCACCAAATGACTAAATGGTTTAAACAGAGACGTATATGTACTTCTCTGGTTTAAACGAGGGCAGCAAGGAAACAGAAATGTATATCAATAATCAGAGACGTATATATGTGTATATATGTGTTATATACGTCTCTGCAATAATCTAACACCTAGAACACTCGGGCATTATTCTCGGCTCAGATATAGAACATAAAATACGTCTTTCGTCAATAATGCACCGTCGTTACTTTATCGGTAGATTCCTTGGTGCCATTATTTCAGACTGAACGTGAACTTTGTCTTTTTCTTTTTTTCCCTTTTTTTGTCTTTGGGGAGGGGGTTGGTAGATTGTATTTTCCACATGAATGAGTCATGAAAATCTGGTGTTGTAGTTGAATATCTGCGAAATCAAATGCTATGATTATGTATATCGCAGTCCGCAAGATAATATACGTCTCTGGTAAATCTAATGGTTACTTAGTTGAATATAGCGATATGTAAATTCCTATGAGGCTTTCACTAACTAAATGATACCCGGTTCTTTTCAGGTTTTTTCTTTACTATAGTCTTTTCAATTCAGTTTCAACATTTAAAAGTCCAAAAGTCGATTGACATAATATCTCTTGTTTGGTGCAATATAAAACATAAACTTATTGATTACATCAGAGACGTAAAATACGTCCCTGGTTACATTAACTACGTCGGATACCACAAGGTTCGATTAAAGATCCAAAACCTGTGTTAAGTAAAATATGTCATTTTTCAGCTGAACGTCACTTCCGTATCTAAATTATCGATCTTGTTTTCGATTAAGGACTTAAAATCCCGGCGTTTGACAGGAGATTTCTAGATGTAAACTCTGTAACTGTCGTTACTTTATCGACAAAGTTGGAAACTTAATAACAAATGCTGTATTTATAGGCAGCTGACTCAGTTTGACGATAAAATTGTGATGAGTAAACCAAGAAAGCGACCGGATCTGCGCCTGCCGTCCACCTCTGGATCTGAGCAACTCGGCTCAGCAGCTGGACTGGATGGAGAGTAAGGCTTTTACCTTTAAGCATTTCGTTGCACATTTGAAAAAGATGCATTTTGAGAAAAAAATAAGCAGTATCATGTTTTAATGCATTCTTAGAGGAGAATTTAGTATACAATCAATATCTTAGAGACGGAAAGACGCCCACGCTGTATGGGCGTCAGAGTTAGGAAGTCGGGCGAGCATAAATTATTCCTTAGATTCTAGGAGCTTTGATTTCCTAACATTGTAGAGACCGGATCGACATCCAGGCTCTGTGATTTGCAATGTGTGCATTCAATATTGTTCTCATTGTCACAATGTTGAATGGCTATTGCTACGATGCGTCAAAATTGATGTGCAGCTTGCACTTGTGTTTTCCTTAGCACAAAAACATAAACTTTTGAGTGGTATTTGACTATGGAAATTAGTGAACCATAAGTATTATTTTTGATGCATAATATAGTTACACATATATTTTTACTAAGTGAAACCATTTATAAGGGTTTTAATTTCAGCAGGGTAATACAGGGGTTTAATGTGTAACTACTGCAAGGATAAGAGGTTATTCGTTTTCTTCAAATATATTTATGTAGCATTGACCTTGTTTCAAGGTTACTTAGATTAAATGTTTTGATATTTTCAAACATCTTCTTTTGAATGATATAATCAAAAGGTACAGGGTAATGCTGATGGACTGTTAATTAGCATCACATATATTGTTGAGATATTGATAATTTCTGCATATTTGGCCTGAAGGGTTTTAGAATGACAAAACAGCTATATGAACTGATTCATTCCATTCTAATATGTTACGTACGGTACCTTACTAAATTCATATACTAGTCAGAATTAATCTTGCATTTTGTCAACCTTGTAACTCACATGGTCCTCTGTCTGTCCAGTGTCAACATTTCCATTTTAATAACTTCTTTTCAATAGCTAGAAAACAAAATGCCATGGTATTTGGCTTGTTGGTTGCTGGGTTAAAGCATGACAAAGCTTGTGAAAAGAAACAACCTTGACCCTTATTCAAGGGCACAGGAGTCAAATTTGGATAGAAATTTGAACAAATACTTCGGACTAACTAAAAGACTTGGAAGCATGATATTTGGTTAATCAGTTCCTAGAATGAAGCCTGACCATATTTGTGAAAAAATGACCTTGAACTTACAGGGATCAAATTGTCAAAACCTGTTAAGTACTTCTGCTAAAAGAAAAGTCTGAAAAGCAGATTATTTGGTAGAATAGTGTTTTAAGGTAAAAACCTGACACATATAGTGAAAATTAGAATTGACATTTAACTAAACTCCATAACTGTCACTGTTTATAGTTGAACATTAGAATCTGAAAACTAAAATTGATTGGATGTGCCAATTGTATATGTGCTTATTTATTTGTGATAAAAAAAGGATTCTATTTTTGATGAAAATTGAATACCAGAAAAGTGATGCAGGCCCATTGTTTATATAGGTCTGGAGTTAAGTGAGTTCATCAACTCCAGATTGATATCTGTTTACAAAAAAAGGTTTAATATCAGAATAATTCTTATACATGTATATTTAGGTCATGGTACCGTTGTTCACATGTATGTCTTCTTTGCACAATCAGTTTGTTAGTTTTTCACAGTCTCATTTCACAGGTTCTGTGGCACTAACGGTAAATAAGAGGATATTAAAATCATGACAGGTCATGAAATGGAAAGTTAAAGATTATGGCTTTAATTGGTGCAAATGTTTTTGGTGCAAAGTTTGTTTGGTATAATAATCATGTGTTTTGAATTCATTAAAAGATGATGGTTTAGAAAAAGTCCATTTTAACTTTTGATTATTTTGTTTGATTTGATTTCTCTTTTGTATTATTGATAAACAGACATTTTTACAAACTGGCCATAGTATTTATCATAAGAAAAAGTCCATTTTCAGCCAAAAAGTAGTGGTCTCTGTTAATCTGATATTAGCTTCACTTATATTTTTGTACCTAAATGATGCATATTGATTTTGTTTTACCTAATTATGATCAAATGGTGGGTTATTCAAGTTGCCTCATGTCCATGATCTGTGATGTTGTAAATGATTCTTGTTATCCCTCTTTCTTGAGAAGTAATGCATAGATAGATCTTTTTCAAATTTCATTGGTAGGTTCCTCTTGGTCCCTAGTGGTTTCCTTTTTTATTTTGAGACTGATCAGGGGGAAAAATGTCGGCTATTTTAGATTATGACTGTGAAAATTATCACCCTTTCTTGAGAAGTATTAGATAGATCTTTCTCAACTGTCGTTTGAAGACTCACCTTGGTTCTAAGTTGCGCATGTTTAATTTCTCAAATTGATTGAAAGTTGAAATAATAAATGCCCCACAAGAGGTCATTTAGATAAGAGACAGTTACACAAGTATCACTTTTTCACAAAGTACATCAGTACATGTCAATAGATTATTCTTAAATTTCTCATGTTCTTCATAGTCCTTGTAGTTGTGCTTTATGTATGGAAATTTTTAAATTCTATAGGTATGTTTCCCTTATTTAGTGATGTATTGTTCATCAGTTTCACATAAAGAGAAAAGAATAGAAAGGTTTAACTGAATAAATACCAATATAGGTCATACTGTGATTGGCACCATGATCCATCACGGATCTTTCATCATATAGACATTAATTTCAGATCAATTTCTACGATGCTACCAACTTGATCACATCACTTGATGTATGTTTGTTTTTTATAGCAAGTCTAACACAGGAACTGCAAGCCTTGAGGCATTGCAGCAGAAGCTGAAAGAACTGGACCTGAATGACCAGCAAAGAGAAAGACTTGAATCCTTCCTCACACAGAAACAACAAGTGGGAGAATTATGTGCTGAGGATTTTGAAAAGCTTGGAGAACTTGGAGCAGGGAATGGTGGAGTTGTTTTGAAAGTTCGCCACAGCAAACTTGGCCTGGTTATGGCCAGAAAGGTATATGATATCAATATGCTTTAAAACTAGGTACAATTGTCATTTTGATTTCTTAACAAGTGTTTTGTAATGTGGTATACCTGCTGATACAAAATGTAACTGGATGTTTTGCACCATCAGTGTGACACAAATAATTTCATATATTTTGATAAAGTATTTCATACAGGTTTGAGGTGTAAAATGAGTGTTTGTTCCTCTTATGAATAAGATTTGATTTTTTTTTTGTTACAGCTTATACACCTTGAAATAAAACCGGCTGTCCGCAATCAAATCATCAGGGAACTCAAAGTCCTCCATGAGTGTAACTCTCCTTTCATTGTGGGTTTCTACGGTGCATTCTACAGTGATGGTGAAATCAGCATTTGTATGGAATACATGGTAAATGATGTATTTAGGGAATTCAGTCTGTAGCATCATTAGATGTCTCATTACTAGATTGTCATGTAAAAAAAGGATATTAAAGAGATGTATAAAAAGCATAAGGTAATGATTAAGTATTAAATACTGTTTCATTTTTTTCAGGATGGTGGGTCCTTGGATTTGATTTTGAAGAAAGCTGGACGGATACCGGAACAAATACTTGGCAAAGTTACAGTGGCTGTAAGGACAAAAATAAAAATCTACAGGAAATAAACTGTTTCTGTACAATGTATAACACACCTGGTGAAGTCACATTTATATTTTAAAGCTGTTGATCACACACATAAAAGAGTGATTTCTTCATCTTCTTTTGATCTTGTCCAAATGTTAATCTTGCTCTTAAAACTTACATTGATATCGTAAACCAGTTAAATTTTCACTCAGGAGACTAGTTTACCTCATAGAGAACATACAGAAGTTATTTTCTTAGAGAGGTTAATATTCTATAGTGGTTCAGTGGTAAATACAGAAATCTCAGTAGGATGTTAAAATAATTTTCAATTTAACACTTATTAGAGTTGTATAGAATGAAGTGTGATTTCGTACGATGTATGTTTTGAGTGAGTTCTATTGAGTTTGTACTAGGTCTGTATGTATTTGAGTTTGATCATTTGAAACACAAAGTATTTCTGTATTTTAAGGTTTTAAAAGGACTCTCCTACTTAAGGGAAAAACATCAGATAATGCATAGAGGTAGGTATATCATTTTACTCTTGTTCAATGTACTTGTTCTTTAATCAATGGTAATATTATATACAAATGTAAAAATATCAGACACATAGTATGTTTTGGGTGGACAAGATATATACAAGTGAAAGTTTGTATGTTGTATCTCTAATACACAAGTGTTTTTAATTTATGACTTTAGTAGTTGCTGATGATAAAGAAAAATTATTCCTTGTGTTTCAGATGTAAAACCCTCAAATATATTAGTGAACTCACGTGGAGAAATAAAGATCTGTGATTTTGGAGTGAGTGGCCAGCTCATAGATTCCATGGCCAACTCCTTTGTAGGAACACGATCTTATATGTCGGTAAGTATGTTTGTAGGAGCACGATCTTACATGTCAGTAAGTATGTTTGTAGGAGCACAATCTTATATGTCGGTAAGTATGTTTGTAGGAGCACAATCTTATATGTCGGTAAGTATGTTGAAGTGGTGATAAAAAAGTCTGTAATAGAAAGAGGCTGTGATAGTTAAGTTGGTAGAGCATGAGACTTAACAATTTTATGAGAAGATCCTAGGTGTATTATACAGTCTCTGTAGTGAGTTATTTTTCCAGAGTTCATAGACCAACAGTAGCTATCATAGTTGTGTCCTTTGACAAGACACTCATCCCTATTGCTCTGGATAGCATGTAGTGGGCCTCCCACCTGATGTTAACTGAGTTAGCAACCAACTACTACAGGGAGACTGCCAAAAATGACTCTTGCTATTCACAAGAGGATAAATCCAATGAAGAAGCAATCAATATTGGGTCTCAATCATCCTTGTTCCATGAGATGTTTTTAGTTTCTTTCTTAATAAGCTCACGTGAGCTGTACTCTTAACTTACAAATGTATTGCTCCCACCTCTTAACCATGGTTAGGAACTTAAGTTATATTATCTTAGCTGTTAGTTAAGTAACCAAGCCTGTAGACCTTTTGGTATAGGTTATCAGTCAAAGTCTTAACAGCTTTTTACACTTACAGGACTACATAGTAGGAACCTGTACATGAATGCTAAAAAATTGCATCAAACAATATCTAATGAATTACTTCAATGCCTTCTTCTTTATTGTTCAAACCAGTTGTTTAAAGTATTTTCTGAATTTTTTAGCAGTTCAGTTTTTTTTGGTATTGTATTTGATTATTAAATAAATGTTTTGTAAAGGGAGTGGTAAAGACCACAATATTTAAATGTAATATGGTATCTATGTTCAGAGATATCTGAGCTGTGATATGTGCTTGAATGTAAAGTCAGCTGTTTTCTCTCTGTTTCAGCCTGAGCGTCTCCAGGGAACACACTATTCAGTACAGTCTGATATTTGGAGTATGGGGCTGTCCCTGGTGGAAATGGCCATCGGTCGCTACCCTATTCCTCCCCCAGACCCAAAAGACCTTGCCAGCATTTTTGGGGATGATGTATTAGAGGAACATAAAGAAGCATCAAAGACCGGCAAACCACTTAAGGGTAAGAGAGTCCAAAAGTGGGACTATTCAAGGGTAAGGTAGTCCAAAAGTGAGACTATTCAAGGGTAAGATAGTCCAAAGGTGGGACTGTTCAAGGGTAAGATAGTCCAAGGTAGGACTATTCAACAGTAAGATAATTTTCACAATGGGACCAGGCAAGGGTAGGGAAGTATTAATAGTAGGACTATTCAAGGGTAAGCTAGTCTAACTGTGGGACCATTCAAGGGAAAGATAGTTAAACAATTAGACGAGTCAAGGGTAAAATAGTCTAACTACAGATCTAGTCATGGTTAAGATAGTCCAGGAATGGGACTATTCATTAGCAAGGTAGTGTAACTCCAGATAAAAGCTTGGTTGGAGTTGAACAGTGGCTAGGGAATAAAATGAATTTGAAACCAGGACTTAAACAAGGTTTATTGAAATTTTCACTGGAGCCCTCCAGCTAAGTGCTCTATGAGGTTAATGTTGATCATGGTATGAGTCTATGGTTCTTCATGTTCAACCATTTCAGCTGTTTCCTATAGATAAACAAAAGTGGCTTTTTGTTTAAAGAGAAAATACAAATGTACTTCTTATGAAGGGCTAGCATTGATGAACCACAATATCTTTAATTATTACAACAGCAGAAATAAGAAATGTTTTTTTAACTGCAGTCTCTGCTGAAGTTAATGAATTCAATTGTGCATTTATTTACATTGTCATCAGTAAATGTTCATATTTGAAAGCAAATATGACATTTTAATTCAAAGAAATGATACTTTTTTATATTTCAGGTTTTCAAAGATCAAACAGTTATTTTTGATAAAATGGTTCGTGTTTAGAGGATGAAAAAAACTTCATTATTTATTTCAGTATGAAGGTCGAACACCTATTCTACATGTACCGAATAGCTGTTAATTTTCATGGGTCAAAATTTTCGTGATTTTCTTTTGAAAAGAATGAATTATATTTAACAAGTTAAAATTTCACAATCAGGCCCTGGCTGTTTAAAGGCTGGTTAAAGATAACCAGTGGTTAGTGAAAATTTTCATACATGAAGTAAACAAAATTGAGAACATTCTTTACTGTTTTACAGCTGTTAATTTTAGGAGGCCGCTTAGATTGATATATTTTGAACGTTAATTTGGTCTTCAAAGCTCTCATATTTTTAGTGGCAACAAATTAATTTTTTCACTAACTGCAGATTACCTCTTACTAACCTTTCAGCAACCGAGGCTTGGATGTAAAATGACATCTTATACACACCTGTCTCATTATTTCATGGATCAAATTTACATGATCACATTAATGTACTGCAAAATGGTGAAAATATCATCCTTGCCAAAATAACCAGCTATACCATATGTATACAGTCAAACTTCTATGAATCAAACTTCAATAATTCAAATTTCTCGGTGTATCAAAGTTTTTTGTCTGGTCCTGCATTTTATTCCCATTAGGAATCAAAGTTTTATAAATCAAACTTAAAACAATAAAACATTTACCTGTACAGTAACAGTTTCCCCCAAAGTTTGACTGTATTGGTGTACTGGGTCCATACTCCATACCAAGGCTGTGCACATCATCATGTATGCATTGTGATAAACAGAAAATAACATCCATTTCACTTTGTATTTTTTGTTGTTTGATTAGAAACAAATATTAACAATGAGTCAAAATTATATAGGTAGTGTTGGTAAGTATGTGCCGCCTAATTGCTTTCTGATAGATGGCAAAAAGGACAATATTTCGGTAGGTTGGGAGATGCCAATGGAGATTGTACTAACAATCTTTCTTATTGAATTAGTTCAGCATTAAAAACATATACATAGGTTGTGTACTCTAATGCTATTATTTGTGAATTTTCACTTGGACTTTTCAAGGAGGTTTGATTTGACAAATCACCAGTAGAGGGATACATTAATTTACAGTGACCTTCAGCATAGCCTCAGCTATTGGATATTATCTTACAAATTGAGGAAATTTGATACATGGTATATGTACACATACCTTGAGAAAAATTGGGTATTCAAGTTACTTTTATAATAGAAAGGAACATACCTTTAGTTATGTGACATTACCAAAAATGTCTGGAAATATACCATACAGATGAGTATGATTTATAAATTAGCAGCACACAGGAAGACGGATTACACAATTTGAGCATGCTTCACCTGTGGATGGCCCAAGATATTTTGTGCATGTATCGTGTAGTGTAAGAGAGATCTACTGCCCATTTCAGGCTGCCCTGGCGACTTTCAGGTGATAACAGGAGACGGCCCCTTACCTATGGCCATATTTGAGCTACTAGAATACATAGTTAATGAGGTAAAGCACAACCTGTCTGAGGGCATCTCACCACAGTTGCACCACCTGCTTCAGACCTAGTTACCATGGAAACTTGTCTAAGATATCCGTAGTTTGACAAACATCACTTGCTCCACTGGTTTTTTAGTGTTGAAGTTCTACTGGGAGAATGTTACTAACACAGTATCTGTGATACTTGTGGTTATGGCATTGGAATGACTTAGTGTTGCTTTCTAATGTTAATTATGCTTATGTAGGGTCATCAAACTTCAGTGTTGATGAAGCTTATGTAGGGTTATCAAACTTCAGTGTTGATGAAGCTTAGGTAGGTTATCAAACTTCAGTGTTGATGAAGCTTAGGTAGGTTATCAAACTTCAGTGTTGATGAAGCTTATGTAGGGTTATCAAACTTCAGTGTTGATGAAACTTATGTAGGGTTATCAAACTTCAGTGTTGATGAAGCTTAGGTAGGTTATCAAACTTCAGTGTTGATGAAACATATGTAGGGTTATCAAACTTCAGTGTTGATGAAGTTTATGTAGGGTTATCAAACTTCAGTGTTGATGAAGCTTAGGTAGGTTATCAAACTTCAGTGTTGATGAAGCTTAGGTAGGTTATCAAACTTCAGTGTTGATGAAACATATGTAGGGTTATCAAACTTCAGTGTTGATGAAACTTATGTAGGGTTATCAAACTTCAGTGTTGATGAAACTTAGGTAGGTTATCAAACTTCAGTGTTGATGAAGCTTATGTAGGGTTATCAAACTTCAGTGTTGATGAAGCTTAGGTAGGTTATCAAACTTCAGTGTTGATGAAGCTTATGTAGGGTTATCAAACTTCAGTGTTGATGAAACTTATGTAGGGTTATCAAACTTCAGTGTTGATGAAGCTTAGGTAGGTTATCAAACTTCAGTGTTGATGAAACATATGTAGGGTTATCAAACTTCAGTGTTGATGAAGCTTATGTAGGGTTATCAAACTTCAGTGTTGATGAAGCTTAGGTAGGTTATCAAACTTCAGTGTTGATGAAGCTTAGGTAGGTTATCAAACTTCAGTGTTGATGAAACATATGTAGGGTTATCAAACTTCAGTGTTGATGAAGCTTATGTATGGTTATCAAACTTCAGTGTTGATGAAGCTTAGGTAGGTTATCAAACTTCAGTGTTGATGAAACTTAGGTAGGTTATCAAACTTCAGTGTTGATGAAGCTTAGGTAGGTTATCAAACTTCAGTGTCGATGAAGCTTAGGTAGGTTATCAAACTTCAGTGTTGATGAAACTTATGTAGGGTTATCAAACTTCAGTGTCAATGAAGCTTAGGTAGGTTATCAAACTTCAGTGTTGACGAAGCTTATGTAGGGTTACCAAACTTCAGTGTTGATGAAACTTATGTAGGGTTATCAAACTTCAGTTTTGATGAAGCTTATGTAGGGTTACCAAACTTCAGTGTTGATGAAGCTTAGGTAGGGTAATCAATCCCCAGTGCCATTGATGCTAAGGTAGGGTTATCAATCCTCAGTGTTATTGATGCTTCAGAGGGTTATCAATCCTCAGTGTTATTGATACTTCAGAGGGTTATCAATCCTCAGTGTTATTGATACTAAGGTAAGGTTATCAATCCTCAGTGCTATTGATGCTAAGTTAGGGTTATCAATCCTCAGTGTTATTGATACTAAGGTAGGGTTATCAATCCTCAGTGTTATTGATGCTTTTGTAGGTTATCAATCCTCAGTGTTATTGATGCTTCAGAGGGTTATCAATCCTCAGTGTTATTGATGCTTCAGAGGGTTATCAATCCTCAGTGTTATTGATGCTTAAGAGGGTTATCAATCCTCAGTGTTATTGATACTAAGGTAGGGTTATCAATCCTCAGTGTTATTGATGCTAAGGTAGGGTTATCAATTCTCAGTGTTATTGATACTAAGGTAGGGTTATCAATCCTCAGTGTTATTGATGCTTAGGTAGGGTTATCAATCCTTAGTGTTATTGATGCTAAGGTAGGGTTATCAATCCTCAGTGTCATTGATGCTAAGGTAGGGTTATCAATCCTCAGTGTCATTGATGCTAAGGTAGGGTTATCAATCCTCAGTGTTATTGATACTAAGGAAGGGTTATCAATCCTCAGTGTTATTGATGATAAGGTAGGGTTATCAATCCTCAGTGTTATTGATGCTTAGGTAGGGTTATCAATCCTCAGTGTTATTGATACTAAGGTAGGGTTATCAATCCTCAGTGTTATTGATGCTTAGGTAGGGTTATCAATCCTCAGTGTTATTGATGCTTACGAGGTTATCATTCCTCACTGTCAATGATGTAAATTATCAATCCTCAGATGCTAAGGTAGGGTTATCAATCCTCAGTGTTATTGCTGCTTACGTGTTTATCATTCCTCACTGTATATGATGCTAAGGTAGGGTTATCAATCCTCAGTGTTATTGATGCTAAGGTAGGGTTATCAATCCTCAGTGTTATTGATGCTAAGGTAGGGTTATCAATCCTCAGTGTTATTGATGCTAAGGTAGGGTTATCAATCCTCAGTGTTATTGATGCTAAGGTAGGGTTATCAATCCTCAGTGTTATTGATGCTAAGGTAGTGTTATCACTGCTCAGTGTTATTGATGCTTACGAGTTTATCATTCCTCACTGTAAATGATGCTAAGGTAGGGTTATCAATCCTCAGTGTTATTGATGCTAAGGTAGGGTTATCAATCCTCAGTGTTATTGCTGCTTACGAGATTATCATTCCTCACTGTAAATGATGCTAAGGTAGGGTTATCAATCCTCAGTGTTATTGATGCTAAGGTAGGGTTATCAATCCTCAGTGTTATTGATGCTAAGGTAGGGTTATCAATCCTCAGTGTTATTGATGCTTACGAGATTATCATTCCTCACTGTAAATGATGCTAAGGTAGGGTTATCAATCCTCAGTGTTATTGATGCTAAGGTAGGGTTATCAATCCTCAGTGTTATTGATGCTAAGGTAGGGTTATCAATCTTCAGTGTTATTGCTGCTTACGAGGTTATCATTCCTCACTGTAAATGATGCTAAGGTAGGGTTATCAATCCTCAGTGTTATTGATGCTTCGGTAGGGTTATCAATCCTCAGTGTTATTGATGCTAAGGTAGGGTTATCAATCCTCAGTGTTATTGCTGCTTACGAGGTTATCATTCCTCACTGTAAATGATGCTAAGGTAGGGTTATCAATCCTCAGTGTTATTGATGCTTCGGTAGGGTTATCAATCCTCAGTGTTATTGATGCTTCGGTAGGGTTATCAATCCTCAGTGTTATTGATACTAAGGTAGGGTTATCAATCCTCAGTGTTATTGATGCTAAGGTAGGGTTATCAATCCTCAGTGTTATTGATGCTAAGGTAGGGTTATCAATCCTCAGTGTTATTGATGCTAAGGTAGGGTTATCAATCCTCAGTGTTATTGATGCTTCAGAGGGTTATCAATCCTCAGTGTTATTAATGCTTACGAGGGTTATCAATCCTCAGTGTTATTGATGCTTAGGTAGGGTTATCAATCCTCAGTGTTATTGATGCTAAGGTAGGGTTATCAGTCCTCAGTGTTATTGATGCTAAGGTAGGGTTATCAATCCTCAGTGTTATTGATGCTTAGGTAGGGTTATCAATCCTCAGTGTTATTGATGCTTACGAGGTTATCATTCCTCACTGTCAATGATGCTAAGGTAGGGTTATCAATCCTCAGTGTTATTGATGCTAAGGTAGGGTTATCAATCCTCAGTGTTATTGCTGCTTACGAGATTATCATTCCTCACTGTAAATGATGCTAAGGTAGGGTTATCAATCCTCAGTGTTATTGATGCTAAGGTAGGGTTATCAATCCTCAGTGTTATTGATGCTAAGGTAGGGTTATCAATCCTCAGTGTTATTGATGCTTACGAGATTATCATTCCTCACTGTAAATGATGCTAAGGTAGGGTTATCAATCCTCAGTGTTATTGATGCTAAGGTAGGGTTATCAATCCTCAGTGTTATTGATGCTAAGGTAGGGTTATCAATCCTCAGTGTTATTGCTGCTTACGAGGTTATCATTCCTCACTGTAAATGATGCTAAGGTAGGGTTATCAATCCTCAGTGTTATTGATGCTTCGGTAGGGTTATCAATCCTCAGTGTTATTGATGCTTCGGTAGGGTTATCAATCCTCAGTGTTATTGATACTAAGGTAGGGTTATCAATCCTCAGTGTTATTGATGCTAAGGTAGGGTTATCAATCCTCAGTGTTATTGATGCTAAGGTAGGGTTATCAATCCTCAGTGTTATTGATGCTAAGGTAGGGTTATCAATCCTCAGTGTTATTGATGCTTCAGAGGGTTATCAATCCTCAGTGTTATTGATGCTTACGAGGGTTATCAATCCTCAGTGTTATTGATGCTTAGGTAGGGTTATCAATCCTCAGTGTTATTGATGTTTCAGAGGGTTATCAATCCTCAGTGTTATTGATGCTTCAGAGGGTTATCAATCCTCAGTGTTATTGATACTAAGGTAGGGTTATCAATCCTCAGTGTTATTGATGCTAAGGTAGGGTTATCAATCCTCAGTGTTATTGATACTAAGGTAGGGTTATCAATCCTCAGTGTTATTGATGCTTAGGTAGGGTTATCAATCCTCAGTGTTATTGATGCTAAGGTAGGGTTATCAATCCTCAGTGTTATTGATGCTAAGGTAGGGTTATCATTCCTCACTGTAAATGATGCTTAGGTAGGGTTATCAATCCTCAGTGTTAATGATTTTTAGGTTAATTTAGTATTTTTGTTTTTTCAAGGGTTATTGATGATGTCCTATAATTAATTAATTTCTATCTAATGAAGAAATTCTATGTTTTTGAATTTATTCATGCATGTTTGCATTTTACTTTCATCTGAGACATTTCAGAAAACATTTTGCAAATAGGTTAAATATCCTGCTTTAATGATGATTAATATATGGATGACTCTGGATTCCATGCTGAAGATTATAATAACTGAAGTTTTAATGAAAAATACATGTTTTTGATTCTGAACCAGTGTAGGATTATGTACAAGGTGTAGGATGTGTCTTTGTAGGACTAAGTGTGGGATGTGTTTTAGTAGGACTAAGTGTGGATGATATCTGTAGTAGGAAAGTTTGAAGTGTTTCTGTACTAGGGCTAAGAACGAGATGTGGAGTTTGTCTGAAGTAGGACTATTTGTGTGGTGTGTCTCTGTAGTAAGACTATGTGTGGGGTGTGTCTCTGTAGTAGGACTATGTGTGGGGTGTGGTTCTGTAATAGGAATGTGTGGAGTTTGTCTGTAGTAGAACTATGTGTGGGGTGTGTCTCTGTAGTAGGACTATATGTGGGGTGTGTCTGTAGTAGGACTGTGAAGTTTGTCTGAAGTAAGACTATGTGTGGGGTGTGTTTCTGTAGTAGGACTATATGTGGGGTGTGTCTGTAGTAGGACTGTGTGAAGTTTGTCTGAAGTAAGACTATGTGTGGGGTGTGTTTCTGTAGTAGGACTATATGTGGGGTGTGTCTCTGGAGTAGGACTATGTGGAGTTTGTCTAAAATAGGACTGTGTGTGGGGTGTGTCACTGTAGTAGGACTATATGTGGGGTTTGTCTGAAGTAGGACTGTGTGAAATTTGTCTGAAGTAAGACTATGTGTGGGGTGTGTTTCTGTAGTAGGACTATATGTGGGGTGTGTCTCTGGAGTAGGACTATGTGGAGTTTGTCTAAAGTAGGACTATGTGTGGGGTGTGTCTCTGCAGCAGGACTATGAGTGGGGTGTGTCTCTGTAGTAGGACTGTGCAGAGTTTGTCTGTAGTAGGAATATGTATGGAATGTATTTTTAGTAGGACTATGTGTGGGGTGTGTCTCTGTAGTAGGACTATATGTGGGATGTGTCTGTAGTAGGACTAAATGTGGGTTGTGTCTGTAGTAGGACTATATGTGGGATGTGTCTGTAGTAGGACTAAATGTGGGTTGTGTCTGTAGTAGGACTATATGTGGGGTGTGTCTGTAGTAGGACTATATGTGGGATGTGTCTGTAGTAGGACTAAATGTGGGTTGTGTCTGTAGTAGGACTATATGTGGGATGTGTCTGTAGTAGGACTATGTGGAGTTTGTCTGAAGTAGGACTACGTGTAGAGTGTGTCTCTGTATTAGGACTATGTGTGGGGTGTCTCTGCTGTAGGACTATGGAGGAGGTTTGTCTGTATTAGAACTATGTGTGGGGTGTGTCTCTGTTGTAGGACTATGGAGGAGGTTTGTCTGTATTAGAACTATGTGTGGGGTGTGTCTCTGTTGTAGGACTATGGAGGAGGTTTTTCTGTATTAGGACTATATGTGGGGTGTGTCTCTGTTGTAGGACTATGGAGGAGGTTTGTCTGTATTAGGACTATGTGTGGGGTGTGTCTCTGTTGTAGGACTATGGAGGAGGTTTGTCTGTATTAGGACTGTGTGGGGTGTGTCTCTGTTGTAGGACTATGTGTGGGGTTTGTCTGTATTAGGACTATGTGTTGGGTGTGTCTCTGTAGTAGGACTATGTATGAGGTTTTGTCTGTATTAGGACCATGTGTTGGGTGTGTCTGTATTAAAGGTATGTATGTACGTCAGAAGTAGAATTAAGTGTGAGGTGTGTTGTAATAGAATTAAGTGTGAGTGTGTTTTTGTAGTAGAACTAAGTGTGTGTTTGTCAGTAGTAGAACTAAGTGTTGGATGTGTAGGACTAAATGTAGGGTGTGTCTGAAGCAGGATGGGGTGTCTGTGGGTAACTGCCGAGACTGTGTCCATACATATATATATACATATAGTGTCAACATCTGCCTTATCTGTTTTTGGTTTGTAACTGTATGACTTGATTATATCCAGGCCAAGACTTGAACCAATCCACCAACAAATTCACATTGTATGTAAATTTATATTAAGGATGTGTAGTTCATGTCATCAAAGTGAAGAATCAAATTAGTGATTTGCAAACAATTAAGTAAATATTGAATATTGAGCACTGGTTGTGTCCCATTGGTCCCATTGTTGGTGTAAATGTTGGACTTGGCCTGGAGCTTTGATTGTTCTCTGAATACTCTATGCTTACTGGTATGTTGTTCTACATTTTATGTTGCTGTTTGATTTTATTTTGTGCATTTTAGGATCAAACAGAAATAGCTTTAGCTTCCCCACGCCGCCCGGCAGTGATGGACCACGCCCCATGGCCATTTTTGAGCTTTTAGATTTTATTGTCAATGAGGTATGTTAAGGCATATTTAACATGGACGCTAATTTAGGCCATCATGTATGAATCTAGAACCTAACAATCTCTGTATGGTGTTTGACTCCTCCGTCCAAACATAACCTGAAAATTAACAATACTGACCTTTGGTCGACCAAACTTTAAGGAGTTATGATACCTGTCTGCACATTTTGGTTTAGTTCTTTTTAATAGGCTTCAAAAACAGGCTTTTTTCATTAGCTCTAGACACCAGCTTTTCCCATTGGTTACAGATGATTATCTTTTAAATTGACTCCATGCTGACACATGGAGCATCAGGCTATATATACAAATTGGGAGGATTTCACACTGCTTTTATGTCATCTTGTAAGGGTCATTTAGCTTGTAATTTCAACCAATCTAAAGCTTCTTTGTAAAGCATTGTTACAGATAGGCTGACTTTTTCCAAGTTATTCTATTACACTCAGGTTTACTTAACCTTCTGGAGCACATTTATTGTCTGTTTTGTTTGGAATCCTGCTTCTCTCCAACCATCGTGCACATCTACTTCCAAACCCCACTGCCTCTATTCAAAACCGTATTACACTAGCTGAGTTGTTCAATGCAGTGTATCTACAGCTATTAATTGCCATTGCAAACTCTCATATTTCCCTTCTCATGGAACACTTACCTGTGGTTCTAGGTGGCAAACTCCTAGTCTCTCTGTCTCATGTAACATTTACCAGTGGTTCTAGGTGGCAAACTCCTAGTCTTCCTGTCTCATGTAACATTTACCTGTGGTTCTAGGTGGCAAACTCCTAGTCTCTCTGTTTCATGTAACATTTACCTGTGGTTCTAGGTTGCAAACTCTCATATTTCCCATCTCATTAAACATTTACCTGTGGTTTTAGGTGGCAAACTGTCAAGTCTTCCTGTCTCATTAAACATTTACCTGTGGTTGTAGGTGGCAAACTCCTAGTCTCTTTTTTCGTCTCATGTAACATTTACCTGTGGTTCTAGGTAGAAAACTTGTCAAGTCTTCCTGTCTCATTTAACATTTCCCTCTGGTTCTAGGTGGCAAACTCCTAGTCTCTCTGTCTCATGTAACATTTACCTGTGGTTCTAGGTGGCAAACTCCTAGTCTCTCTGTCTCATGTAACAGTTACCTGTGGTTCTAGGTGGCAAACTGTCAAGTCTTCCTGTCTCATTAAACATTTACCAGTGGTTCTAGGTGATAAACTCCTAGTCTCTCTGTCTCATGTAACATTTACCTGTGGTTCTAGGTGGCAAACTCCTTGTCTCTCTGTCTCATGTAATATTTACCTGTGGTTCTAGGTGGCAAACTCCTAGTCTCTCTGTCTCATGTAACATTTACCTGTGGTTCTAGGTGGCAAACTCCTAGTCTCTCTGTCTCATGTAATATTTACCTGTGGTTTTAGGTGGCAAACTGTCAAGTCTTCCTGTCTGATTTAACATTTACCTGTGGTTCTAGGTGGGAAACTCCTAGTCTTCCTGTCTCATGTAACAATTACCTGTGGTTTTAGGTGGCAAACTGTCAAGTCTTCCTGTCTGATTTAACATTTACCTGTGGTTCTAGGTGGCAAACTCCTAGTCTTCCTGTCTCATGTAACATTTACCTGTTGTTTTAGGTGGCAAACTCCTAGTCTCTTTGTCTCATGTAACAGTTACCTGTGGTTCTAGGTGGCAAACTCCTAGTCTCTCTGTCTCATGTAACATTTACCTGTGGTTCTAGGTGGCAAACTCCTAGTCTCTTTGTCTCATGTAACAGTTACCTGTGGTTCTAGGTGGCAAACTGTCAAGTCTTCCTGTCTGATTTAACATTTACCTGTGGTTCTAGGTGGCAAACTCCTAGTCTTCCTGTCTCATGTAACATTTACCTGTTGTTTTAGGTGGCAAACTGTCAAGTCTTCATGTCTGATTTAACATTTACCTGTGGTTTTAGGTGGCAAACTGTCAAGTCTTCCTGTCTCATGTAACATTTACCTGTGGTTTTAGGTGGCAAACTCCTAGTCTTCCTGTCTCATGTAACATTTACCAGTGGTTTTAGGTGGCAAACTGTCAAGTCTTCCTGTCTCATGTAACATTTACCTGTGGTTTTAGGTGGCAAACTCCTAGTCTTCCTGTCTCATGTAACATTTACCTGTGGTTTTAGGTGGCAAACTGTCAAGTCTTCCTGTCTCATGTAACATTTACCTGTGGTTTTAGGTGGCAAACTCCTAGTCTTCCTGCCTCATGTAACATTTACCTGTGGTTTTAGGTGGCAAACTGTCAAGTCTTCCTGTCTCATGTAACATTTACCTGTGGTTTTAGGTGGCAAACTCCTAGTCTTCCTGTCTCATGTAACATTTACCTGTGGTTTTAGGTGGCAAACTGTCAAGTCTTCCTGTCTGATTTAACATTTACCTGTGGTTTTAGGTGGCAAACTGTCAAGTCTTCCTGTCTCATGTAACATTTACCTGTGGTTTTAGGTGGCAAACTCCTAGTCTTCCTGTCTCATGTAACATTTACCTGTGGTTTTAGGTGGCAAACTGTCAAGTCTTCCTGTCTGATTTAACATTTACCTGTGGTTTTAGGTGGCAAACTCCTAGTCTTCCTGCCTCATGTAACATTTACCTGTGGTTCTAGGTGGCAAACTCCTAGTCTTCCTGTCTCATGTAACATTTACCTGTGGTTTTAGGTGGCAAACTCCTAGTCTTCCTGTCTCATGTAACATTTACCTGTGGTTCTAGGTGGCAAACTCCTAGTCTTCCTGTCTCATGTAACATTTACCTGTGGTTCTAGGTGGCAAACTCCTAGTCTCTTTGTCTCATGTAACAGTTACCTGTGGTTCTAGGTGGCAAACTCCTAGTTTCTTTGTCTCATGTAACATTTACCTGTGGTTCTAGGTGGCAAACTCCTAGTCTTCCTGTCTCATGTAACATTTACCTGTGGTTCTAGGTGGCAAACTCCTAGTCTTCCTGTCTCATGTAACATTTACCAGTGGTTCTAGGTGGCAAACTCCTAGTCTTCCTGTCTCATGTAACATTTACCTGTGGTTCTAGGTGGCAAACTCCTAGTCTCTCTGTCTCATGTAACAGTTACCTGTGGTTCTAGGTGGCAAACTGTCAAGTCTTCCTGTCTCATTAAACATTTACCAGTGGTTCTAGATGATAAACTCCTAGTCTTCCTGTCTCATTAAACATTTACCTGTGGTTCTAGGTGGCAAACTCCTAGTCTTCCTGTCTCATGTAACATTTACCAGTGGTTCTAGGTGGCAAACTCCTAGTCTTCCTGTCTCATGTAACATTTACCTGTGGTTCTAGGTGGCAAACTCCTAGTCTTCCTGTCTCATGTAACATTTACCTGTGGTTCTAGGTGGCAAACTCCTAGTCTTCCTGTCTCATGTAACATTTACCTGTGGTTCTAGGTGGCAAACTCCTAGTCTTCCTGTCTCATGTAATTCTAAGCTTTGAACGGTTGACTTCCTTATCACGTATTATATTGATTTCTTGCTCAACATAGGGAAACCTTAACTTTCAGGTTCCAATTAGTGAACTGCTGTCATTTTCCGTTATCTGATATCCAGTCAGTTCACCATTAGCTGTCCCATCACATAATCATCAGATCTAGTTCTAACTTAGGAAGTGAAATGTCAAACTCCTGTCACTTTTATGTATTGTTTGAAGCATTGAATCATCAGCACCTTCATCACATCATACAAATTATCAGTTTTCCCTTATATTTTACAATTCTGTTCTAGACAAGTATTCCCACCCCACCTTTACCTCCAACCCGCCTCATTTCACGATTCACACATATGTGTGGATCCTGAAATAACCATTCATCTCACTTCTGCCAAGTATGTTACATATCCTACTAGATCAGGCTATGTACTATCCCTTCTGACATGTCCGTCCTGCTGAGAGATTCTGACCACTAATACAGAATTTTAACAAAGACTTGCTTTCAGCTATTGTTGTACAGTGATGAATTTATAAGTCAGCAACAGTTCATTGTTTTATAGTGTTTGCTTCTTTTTATTGAATTATGTTTTTCACTGTAATTCTTTGATTTGTTCATCATTTGTTTCTTTGATAGAAATAAAAGACTGTACAATTCGATCTTACAAGGCAGGACATCATATCACAGAAGAATATCTGAAAAAAAATCTTGTTTTTATTTATCATTAGTATGAAGTAGCGATCATACTTAATTGCTTTTATCAACCAATATATCAAATGGCATTGAAGTTTCTGACTAATAACACTTCTTGGTCTTATCCTTTCTCTTAAATGGCCATCTTGCATAAACTATAAAGTGATTGTCTAATTGCGTGAACTAACATTTCTACATGATAAGGTAATATACATGTTAACTATCTAATGTAACAATCTACAAATGTGAAGTATCTGTCAATGAAACAGTCTACATATATTGATTATCTGTCAGTGTAACAGTCTACATATGTTCATTATCTGTCAGTGTAACAGTCTACATCTGTTAACTATCTGTCAGTGTAACAGTCTACATCTGTTAACTATCTGTCAGTGTAACGGTCTACATCTGTTAACTATCTGTCAGTGTAACAGTCTACATCTGTTAATTATCTGTCAGTGTAACAGTCTACATCTGTTAATTATCTGTCAGTGTAACAGTCTACATCTGTTAACTATCTGTCAGTGTAACAGTCTACATCTGTTAATTATCTGTCAGTGTAACAGTCTACATATGTTAACTATCTGTCAGTGTAACGGTCTACATCTGTTAACTATCTGTCAGTGTAACGGTCTACATCTGTTAATTATCTGTCAGTGTAACAGTCTACATATGTTAATTATCTGTCAGTGTAACAGTCTACATCTGTTAACTATCTGTCAGTGTAACAGTCTACATCTGTTAACTATCTGTCAGTGTAATATTCTACATAGGTTAACTATCTGTCAGTGTAACAGTCTACATCTGTTAACTATCTGTCAGTGTAACAGTCTACATCTGTTAACTATCTGTCAGTGTAACAGTCTACATCTGTTAACTATCTG